ATTGCGATCCAATTTTGGGGCGAAGTAGGGAGCCCTGGACACGAACAGGAAATCCTTTGGTCAATTGTCGAGCACTGTATCCTTTCTGCCAGTCCATCTCAATAATGATGTAATTATTAATTAAGCTTACGACCAAACAACAAGAACACGAGATAAAACCATGCATATGTTCTCACCAAAGAGTTTGAGAGTTGATTGTTAAGTTGAGAGACACTAGACGTACAAATAACGACGAATAAAATATTTTGAGAAAGGCAGACAACACGAGATAATATTTCTGAGGAAGACAGAGGCCAACGTCGTCGAGGCAGACTTCCTGTATTGTAGAAAAAATATAAGATATTTCTCTAGTTCAGTTTACAAAACAATTATTATATCCCCAAAAAAACTAGTTTATCCCATAAGATCAACATTACTCCTACACCCACAGATTAAATTTATTATTGTTTTGATATCGTGTGAGCAACTGAGGATCCTAACGTAGAAATTGTGTAAAATAACTCCCATCTATTCTTAATGTATAACAAAATGAAGACAAAAATACGTTCTTTAGTTCACAAGGTCACGTAGTGTTGCTGTTCCTGTTTGTCACATCATTTTATTTGCATTCTGTATGACGTCATTCTCGATTTGCTCTACCTTTTATAAGTTCATCGACGTTGCTGCTTCGCCACCTCGTAATGTTAATCTATATCGAATTGTTAGATAATTCATATTTTATTAATTCTTTTTACGGTGGGTGTTCTGTCGCCGGTCTGTTATCCATCTTTCTGAACGATCTTCATGCATATAGTGAAAGTTTCCTTCAATGTCCAGGAGCATTAAAGGGAATTCAGCTGTCCATATTTATCCTCCCTGGGAAGAACCTCTACTACGAATGTCTTTATGACACAGCAACTAACATTTAACATTTCCTAAATTTTGTGTCTAAGAAATCACACAGATAATAGATAACGGAGGAATTCAATTGCAGAAAAAAACTTAGGGAATATAACAAAACTCATAATATAAGGTAGTCGTCCTTAATGATACAACAGCTCAACGTTAAACTAGGAATAGCCACCAACGCTGCTGTAGAGAGGCATGATACCCACCAACTGGGCATCCCAAAAATTAGTTTTTTGTAGTACTGAAGGTCCATGATTTATAGGCTAATATCCTTATGTTGATGGGTAATTAAAAGCATTATTCTGATAGGAAACTAACATTCTTATACTGATGGGCCAATACAATCACCACCACCAATAACACTGATAGCTTATAGTACTGTCATTATTACTAACAGCGCATTAACAATGATGGTTCGACAATGTTATCACATAAGGGCAGAGACAGACAGACATATTTATAATCGGCTATAAACAAAAAGGTCAACCATTATGTTAAACACACTCACACACAAAAACTCGTTATCTTTGAACAAGAATATTTTAGCCACTTATTTCCTGCGGTTTTAAATTTCTTACTGCTGTTTACGCTTTAGAATTCAGTACATTCCCATTTTTTTTTACAGATTTAGTGTTAAATTTAATAGAATTTTTCAGATTTTTATGCGATTAACGTCACCCAACTTGAAATCTGAAATATATCTTAACCCCGTGTAGTCCTAGTATAACTTATAAAATCCATTACACTAAGCACTTTCCTCTTAGATGCTGTTATATATATCTCAGTTTAGTGTTTATATGTTCTTGTTATACATCTGGTAACAGTTTCCTTGTTCAGTGTCTTAAACAAAACCATAATGACCCGTTTAGGTTGTATGTTACCGCAGAGCGACTACTGATGGTCTTCAAGCCAGAGTACTACCGCAGCCAGCCTCGCCTCGCGCTTCCTCCCTTGCCCGTCCTTCCTAGGTTAGAGAGGAGGAACGGTGTGAGAAGGACCCAGTGTTACCCTCAAGAATTATAAATCAAAGTTATCAGGTTATTTCTACCACACGGTGTTCCTTAACGACAAAGACAAGAGCTTCCTAATTTTCAGTCTCACCAGAGTTCAGTTCATAGACTAATAAATATAAAACTTTGTGTAGCATTAATTAAGTGGTTTAACGAATATGTTTTACAGAACGGTGATATTGTGGGAGAAAAATTATGTCTATTTTTCCAAAATATGTTACTATCAGGAATGGAAGGAAGAACTACAGAAATATGTTAGACACTAAACTACAGTAACATCAAGACCAGTTACTACACTGCCTGGGTAATGGCTCATACAAAACAGTCTTAAACCAGGATGGATAATGTATGCAGTGAACTCTAGATATTAGTTAAAAAAAAAGTACATCTAAACCGGAGGAGGTGTTGGAAATGTTACAAGGTGTTCCCGTCAGGCCAACACCACAGTAAAAACTCGCTTCCATTGGTCCTCTCAGGTGCCGTGGGTATCCTGGAAGTAATGGACGATGAAATTATATTTTTCCTTAATTTTGTTATCTATAATATTGAAGAAAAAACAAGAACGTCAAGTCACGTCAGAGCGGCGTAGCCAAAGAGCGAGGTCCAAAGATAAAGGGTAGAGTGGCTTCACGTGTCCTATATAAGGTCCTGGACACTAGCAGCCATCATCACTGTGGCTCATCTCCTCATCCACACAACTTATACAATCATGGTAAAGACAAATCTGTTTCTGAATCACTAGTGTGTTATTGCCTATATGTTACAGTTGTCTGATATACTGTATATGGTAACTCCAGGAACTCCTCACGTATGTTTACAAAATATTATCTGTGTGTTGACAGCGTTTCCTGTCAGTGCTCATGGTGTTGACCGTGATGGTGGCCGCTGTTTATGGCGGATATCGGGGTAAGTAATATGTTTATATCATAATAATTTAACATTCATATTTTGACTATTATATTTATTACATTGTTATCACTAATTAACTACTTTACATTTGTTATACTAATTGTTCTCTACCTATAATGTGCCTTGACTTATATCCTTTATCTTCTAACAATAGGAAACAGATTTATTGGCGGACACAGCGGAAATGGCGCTGGATTTAATCCTGGATTTATTGGTGGATCCGGTCATGGATTTAACGGTGGATTCAATCGAGAATTTACTGGTGGATTCAACAGGGGATTCAGTCAGGGAATTGGTGTTCGTGCATATGGTCAACCTTATGGTAAATTATGAAATATTTATTAATTGTTTTGTTGTGTTTGGTATCTATCTAAATTTACTAAATCATTTTATTTGGTTTACACATGAATAAAATAATAATAATACGAATTCTTCAATAAGTTACACAATGAATATCTTGTGTATTACTTGTGTCTTCCATTTTGTTATTTCAGGTTATCGAGGGTAAATCTTCCGAAGAGAATTTATTTGATGAACTCCTAACTGATGATGTAATATTTTGTTTATAAATAATTGATATGCAACTGTGTTTAAGCTGCTACCCTTATATATAAACATTCACACAGGGGCGTTCATATGTCTGTATCATTCACAGTTTGGGTGAATGACTTGAGGATAAAATTAGCCAGAAGTAAATAAGTTATGAATTATTATTAAAATTTCAAATAACTTCCAAAAGTTTGGTAAGAAAATAATGAAAAGAAAAAAATTAAGAGTCATGAAGAAGTGCTGGTGGTGTGTTGCCTCTGTTCCACCCACCCCCAACCCCATACACTCGGTGACTGACCCACGTGCACCATCACGCAACACACCATCACGCAACACACCATCACGCAACACACCAATATAAAAGTTGTATGGTACTGACCCACACATTACGTAAAACCCAAGTTGGTGACCACAAATAAAAATATGTGAAAATTGTTCCCATAGAGGCAGTGTCGAGAGAACAAGGGAGTAAAGCGGCCCTGGGCTCTATACTGTGCTTCACCATCAGTATATGCAGCGTGGGGCGGGGAACAGCGCGCCACTTGGGAAATGAAGCCAACGCCATTTCCACTCGTCCGCTGCCTCTCTTATATAATTAAATATATAAGTCCGGCGTAATAAATATATGGGAGTAAAATAACATAAAATACTTTCATACAACAGACTGATGGAACTAAAATAATTAAAAAAAATATAAAAAACTATAATAATCCAGAATTTTAGTTTGAAAGATGTGTTAATGTGTGAGAAGCCCAACAACTTAATAACTATAATAATAAGGACACTAAGAGCTATGTGCTCGATACCACACATCTTTATGATAGAAAGGTTCAAGGCTATTAAAACGTGTCCACCTCCTTGTATGTATCAGGTCAACCCATCCATGTATAGTACGTTGAAGTGAAGTCATTCATTTACACAATTTATCCTATAGGGTTGGTTTAAGAAAAGAGAGATTTTTGCTGTATAATTTTTCCCAGAAGTTAAGACTCAGTATGATAATGACTCTACTATAGACGTCAAGTTTACACTATAATGATATAGCATTTTGTTAAACCGGTTGGTATTTAATCATGTTATATATATATCAAAGTTATTAGATTAAATGGGATTCCGAATATTTGTTATATCTTATGTTGAGTGCATGACGATGAGAGATATATATGTGTATGGAGCTCACATACGCGCCAGCCACTGTACCAGGTATATAGGTGTAGGTGACTGTACCTTTAGCAGAGGGATGTTGTTGATGAAGGTATTCTGCTGATGATGGTATTCTCGGTAGTTTGTTTATACTTTATGTGTTCAGGATCTCTGCCAAGAACTTGTATAGATTGAAAGTCATTAACTTTTATCAGCTGTTGAATAGAATTGTTTTTTGTTATTGGACTGTCAGTTTGTTTGATTGTTTGTGAGTATTATGAAAGCAGAATCTAAGTTTCAAATTATATTTCAGAAAATACTGTTGCTTATTGTCAAGTTCAGCTGAAGCTTAAAGATTAGTACCTATCATTCAAGGCCACACCTATCATTCAAGGCCACACCTATCATTCAAGGCCACACCTATCATTCAAGGCCACACCTATCATTCGAGGCCAATCCTATCACCCCAGGGTATTTTCTGGATAGTTTGCAGTCAGGATTTTGTAAGTACCGACAAAGTGGTGGACAAACAGCGTTGTAAGACAAGTAGATGACCAAGATCCCGGAGGACTGGGCAGCGCGGGATAAAAAAATATATCCTCAGAATAGACCAACAACACAAACAGTATTGGTATTTTTAACCTGCGACTGAGGATTCACCTTCACAACGCGTCTCCTTTATAACTTGCGATGCTTCAGGTGACGAGTGAAGCTGATCTGGGGATAATGAACACATGTGATAATAATAACACTAATAACAATAAAATTAATATTGATGAGAACAGTAAAATAGTCGTTGTTATGATAGTAGTACTGAGAATGATTACAGGGATGAGATTATGGACTATTATTATTATTATTATTAAAACCTTCAAAAATCTGCCTCCATATATTATCGTGGTGTGTGTGTGTGTGTGTGTGTGTGTGTGTGTGTGTTTGTAGACAGCCTGCCTTTTAGAGATCATTGTGGCATAGTCATAATACGGCTATGTTTTAGAAGTAGGGTAACTTACTAACATACAAAGAAATCTAGTCCTTTACGTGTTGATAGAATAAGTCTGGATTACCATTTATGTTTAAGTATTAACTTTGTTATATACATAAGAAGAGGTTAAACATGGTTCATAAATGTCAATTGTATTTTATTAGGATGATTTTCCCTATATCAAAAACGTTCACACTATACTTAAACATTTCGACGATTGCTATGCATACTCTCGCAAGAAGTGTGTTGACTGTTTGGTGGTGATGAAAATCTCTTATACATTCAATATTTGGTGGTGGTGAAGCCTTGAGTCACAGTGTGTTGGTTGACAAGAGAAACATGGACGTGGGTTGCCAGACGAGACACGCCATTCCAGCCCTGGTATAGCTAAGGACACTCCACTCACTCTGCCATGGTAAGTCTTCTCAATTATCCCAGTATTTTATCACAATTAAGAGTGTTTGAGGTTAGTAGACCGAGTGGCGATTTGGTCTTGAAAATTACATGTTAAAAAAGGAATTCAAATGCTGATACGAGATGCGGTCATTGAGAAAAAATAATTCTCTCCATTAGTAACAACAAGAAATCAACGTGTCTTTAAAAGTGGCTGATTGTCCTCTCAAGTATAACCAAGTGACAGTGAGGAAGATATTGTTTACCACCTGTGTTCACTTTAAGAATAACACCATCTGTCACTACACCCCATAATGAGGATTCCAACACCATTCCTCACGGAGATGAAAATGTTAGACGATACTCACTTTATAACTGTGTGATGACCCGTTGATCTCACTGAACACGTGTACCTCGGTGTAAAGTCTGCCAGGTAATTAATCCTCTCACCTGGAAAAAAGATGCATTTTCTTATAGTTTTTGTGTTATGTTTTGATGCTAAGAGCCGAATGCTTGTTAACTTGTGGAACTTTTAACCTGGAATTATAGGCATCTCTCAAGCCACGCGTTACCAAACTGGCTATCTTAACACCAAGAACAAACTTACCAAGCCTGAAGAAATTTATACTAAAGCTTGAACAGAATTACCAGGTCTCAACCATAATTTTTCAAGCTTGAATAAACTTATTGGCTTCAACAAACTTATTAAGCCTGAAAAACTTACTAAGCCTGAATTAAATTACCGAGGAAATGTACCAAGCCTGAACTAATGTATTTACCCTCAACAAGCTTAATAAACCTGAATTACCTTGTTAAGCCTGAAATCGATAGAAGTAATACAACAATATTTTATCATCGACCATAATCAGTAATTCTAAGGATCACCTGAAGAATAGACCACCCTAACCTATCCTAACCTAACCTAACCTAACCTATCCTAACCTAACCTAACCTTACCTAACCTAACCTAACCCCTCTCCCCGGGTAGCATTAGGGTGGTTAATCATAAGGTGATATTTTAGTGTTTTATATAATATTTAAGTTGTGTTTTTAATCTACGTTATACAGTATTTGTACAGGCAGTCTCTCTCTCTCTCTCTCTCTCTCTCTCTCTCTCTCTCTCTCCTCCCATCCCATGAATTTAGTTTCGTTATAAATTATAGACCAAAGTGTAACGAATTATTAATTTTATCTACCAAATTTAGAAAAAATTACTTTAATCGACCAAAATAGAACCAACTCTTGCTTTTATCTACCCAAATAAAAAAAAACTATTACTTTGATCCGCCAAAATATAGCAAACTTTTATCTACTAAAATATATTAAACTATATTCTGATCCACCAAAACTATTTCTTTCATCTGCCAAAATGTTCGTCTGATCTTTAGTACCAAACAAGTTATAGTGAACACGAAGGGATTTGTTTGGTCATTATGGTGAGTATAAGAGATTTATCTAATAATCTTATAGGCTTGTATTGAGAGTGAGGCGATACGCATTATTCTCTGATTGTTAAGACATAAGACAAAAGGTGTTTAGTCTGTGTTGGTGTGAGGCAGTGGGAAAACCTCTCATCAATTTGTTGTTTTAAGTTATTTTATATAAACAAGATTTGGTGAACAGAAGACGATAAGTAGTAAAGATAATTAATATAATCTATTTTTTTCAGAATATTAACGTTAAATTGTGGATTTCATTGTCACGTATTTTTTTTTTTAAATTCTTGTCTATCTATTCTGACCCTTTATACGTTTTCGTTGTTTACAGGGGGCAAGAAAGGTGGTGGCGGTGGTGGTGGTAGTGGTGGTGTTGGTCATCCTTGGTGAAGCTCGGTGGTCGGGTTACAAGACCCATCGTCGAATAGGACTCACTGATTACAGGACACCTCATTATACAACACCCTTCTCTGATATGGCTCCTCGTCAGTCCATGATTCTACACCCGGGGAGCTGGACAAACCTGAGGGGGCGTTTGTCGAAGAATAATCAAAGAATTTCCCCCAACAATATGAAATCTGATCAAATATTTGACTCAGCTTGGCCTTCGCATATTGAAAAGGTGCAGCTACGTCCTCAAAATGATCCCAACAACAAACTTTCAAAGGTTTTACACTGGAAACATCCGGAAAGAAAACTTCCAGATGTGAGATATTTTGGACAATATCCAGAAAGACCGCCGCCAGAGACGAGGCTTCCTGAGAGGCCACACGCACGAGACACGACCTTAGCAACTGAATTTTCAGAGGGACGCTCACCGGAACGAAGTTTTGTAAGTTCCCAGCGTGGTGTGGACAGACATCGACACCTAGACGACAGATTTAAAAAATCACAACGTCGAGAAAATATTAGATCTTATATGCCCCGATCTCTCAGACACAAATCTCAAGACCAAGAAAGATGGCCTTCACAGTCACTACGTGGAAAACGCAGTCACCTAGCCAGAGTATCAGGTTTACAGCATCGTATAGGAAGATCTTCAAAACCAACGAGTCAAGAGTCTCACCGCCCGGAGAGAATGTCTCAAGTTGCTCAGCCTTTGGTCACACATTCGGGAAGATCTATTGAGGACCCAACAATGATGCATCGACGCGAGAGTGAACTAAGGAGCGCCAAGTACCTGAACTTAAACTCTTCAAAACTGACAAGGCGACGAGTTGCACTTGTTAACGATCAACATCCCGAGGGTCGTCTATACAATCCTCCATCTGAGACTAACTACAGCCAAGTACCTCCGCCAGAGGAGTATCCCACCAGGAGACAGCCGACTCTCCCACGACCAATCGATGAAAGGGATGGAGAGTCCAATAACCGGTATCCAGAACCCCAACGCGTCAGTCCAGGTGGTAAGTTTCTCCGTCAATCATAGTCACTTGTGTACTGGTTGTTTATTTTCAGTGAATTAAAATTATATTATTAATGTATGAAAACACTGTAAATTAAAATATTCCCGAACACACACACACACAAAGAAAAAAGATGTGTTTTGTGAGTAATTATGATCGGTGTTAGAATATAAGATGTTCAACGTCGTGAATTGTATAAAGATATAATATATATTTTTTAATTTTCCAGACTACATTAACAAAGAACCGGTGTTTGATGAAGGCCGAGTGGGAACAGAGATAACAGACGACCTCGGATGGGGCGATAAAGTTGGTAGTAACGTTAAATACACAGTTTCCAGAGATGATGGTGATGGTGTAGGGCGCCTTGGAGGTCTGATGGTTCCTGAATATACATATGGTCAGCCCTCTAGTGCTCCTGTTGTTCATCCGACTGGTACGAGCGCCATCACTCCCCAAATTGAAGTATTTCCAAACAAACAAGATGTTCCTAAGGCCTCACACTACGGCCTTCATCAAGGGGGATATGGTCAGGATAGTCTGGGGCCTTCACAAGCCTTGCAGAACGTCACACAACCAGGAACAAGCAGCAACATGGCCTACGACCCACAAAATTCTGCAGACCAGGACTACCTGAAGAGTGTACCCAGTAAAGGCGAAAATGGATACTCACACGAAATCCCGAGTTACAATCAGCATGTAGGTAGTGCTGCCGAGATCAATAGTACCAGTAGTAATTTAACAGGAAGTGGCGGTACTGACTTTTACCCAGCACGACAGTCAGATATTGGTGGTAAAGAAATTCGTGGTTCACCAAATAAAACTCTGGGTAACATTTCAGAAGAGAATGACAATTTGCCTGATGAAGGGAAAATGGATGTGAAGGCTCAGAACGATGTTAAGTTGAAAACAGGAAGTAATGATAGCTTGTCCATGATGATTAACGACAGTGTTTCAACACTTCACACTTCTCAAGATAAGAACTCAAATGCAACTGAGAGCGATATTGTCACTCTGGTTAAAGGAACAGAAGACGCAGGTGAAGATAAACCTTCTGATACAATTTCTGGAGACAACGGTGACAAAGACACTGTTAGCGATGATGCAGCACCTACTGACTCAAAAGTTTCCTTTGGTGGTGTTGATGAATCAAACTCTTATAGGGAAGATAACCCGGGAACTACCAATACAGAGGAGGTCTTGGTCATTAATGAAGGTGATGTTCCGAGTATCATTAACACAACAAATAATGATGGTAGTAGAGAAACCATGGACTCTGGAGTCGATGATAATGTTGAGCCACAGCCATCTCCTCTCGGTGCTTCAGGATCCATTGAAGGTAAAACACCTTCTGAAACAGAGAGCAACGAGTCTGAGTCAGCTGATGCTGGCAGCTCTAATAATACTGACGCAGGAGTTGATGGGAATAAAGAAATACAAGTTCCTCATCATGTTGAACATAAACTACATGTTAACGGTGATTCTCAAGAGTTCTATGACGTTATTGATCCCCCAAGCCATGATGGTGACTCAGCTCCAGGCTCTCACGAGTATAAAGACAACAAGGAGAAACACACAAGCACTTTTGGTCATTCAGGAGACAGAGCTCATGCTGGCGATGGAGTTAACCATTCCCTTGGAGATGAAAATAACGAGTCTGGAGAAGTTGAGTCCAAAATCTCCCAGGGAAGTGAGTCAGCAGTCTCTAGGGGTTATGAATCAGCGGTCTCTAGAGCGGATGAGTCAGGAATCTCTATAGGTGATGATTCAGTGGTCCCTAAAGGTGATGAGTCACCAGTCTCTAGAGGTGATGAATCAGCAGTCTCTAGAGGTGATGAGTCAGTGGTCTCTAGAGATGGTGATTCAGTGGTCTCTAGAGATGATAAGTCAGAGGTCTCTAGAGGTGGGGAGTCAGCAGTCTCTAGAGATGATGAGTCAGCAGTCTCTAGAGGTGGTGAACCAGCGGTCTCTAGAGATGATGAGTCAGTGACCTCTAGAGATGATAAGTCAGCAGTCTTTAGAGGTGGTGAGTCAGCGGTCTCTAGAGATGATAAGTCAGCAGTCTCTAGAGATGATAAGTCAGCAGTCTCTAGAGATGATAAGTCAGCAGTCTCTAGAGGTGGTGAGTCAGCGGTCTCTAGAGATGATAAGTCAGCAGTCTCTAGAGATGATAAGTCAGCAGTCTCTAGAGATGATAAGTCAGCAGTTTCTAGAGGTGGTGAGTCAGCGGTCTCTAGAGATGATAAGTCAGCAGTCTCTAGAGGTGGTGAGTCAGCGGTCTCTGGAGATGATGAGTCAGCGGTCTCTAGAGATGATAAGTCAGCAGTCTCTAGAGGTGGTGAGTCAGCGGTCTCTAGAGATGATAAGTCAGCAGTCTCTAGAGATGATAAGTCAGCAGTCTCTAGAGGTGGTGAGTCAGCGGTCTCTGGAGATGATATTTCAGCAGTCTCTAGAAGTGGTGCTTCAGCGGTCTCTAGAGGTGGTGAGTCAGCGGTCTCTAGAGGTGGTGAGTCAGCGGTTCCTGGTAACGAAGAATCTGACATCTCTCTTGAAGGTAGATCGAGAGTGACAGTAAAGGCTGGAGAGGAGGTGTCTGGTCTTGAGGATCCCAAGGCGTTTGGTAATGACAGTACTGAGACTTCTGTGTTGGGTGAGAGGTCAGGGAGATCTGTCTATAATCTGTCAACATTGGCCACTAAAGATAATGATGATGGTGGATCTAGAGGTAAGTATACTGAGAGAGCTAGAATGATGAAAGTGAATATGGAAAATGAAGATAATTATTCTGAAGATGTCGATGATGATGGGGATTCAGAAGATCATGATGAAGGTGATGATGATGGTCTTAAAGGCAATGTAGATGTTGTTGATGATGGTGATGGTGATGATAATGATGATAGTGATAATGATGATACAGTTGATGGTGATAAAGTTGAGGGTGGTGGTGTTGATGATGATGGTGATGATGATGATGGTGATGATAAAGATGATGGTGATAAAGTTGTTAATGTTAATGATGATACTGATGATGATGATGATGATAATGATGATGAAGATGGTGGTGATGATGATAATGATGATGATGATGATGGTGATAAAGCTGATAATAGTGATGATGGTGTTGATGATGTTGATGATGATGCCATTGACAAAAACAACAGTCACCATGCTTCAGAGGATAAAATAGCTGTTACCAAAGACATTGAGAAACCCATCGATGAGGAGTCTACCGAAGAAGACCTTGATGTAGATGCTGAGAAAGACGTCGACACCTTGAGAAACTCCAGGAGTTTGTTGTGAAGTGAGACATAAATAAGAGGACCACTTAAGGTGTTTCTGGTGACATGATATCAGACTTTGAGGAAAAGTAAAAGTTCTCTTTCTTTCCAACGGTAAAGTAACTGAAGCTGTCATCACTGAGGGTTTTGGTTCATAAACTGAGAAAGAGAATATCCAGTATCTGAAATATATTATCTTTATATATGTAACCAATATCTAAAATAATAGAATCTCTCTCTCTCTCTCTCTCTCTCTCTCTCTCTCTCTCTCTCTCTCTCTCTCTCTCTCTCTCTCTCTCTCTCTCTCTCCATATTATGTATATATGTATACACACATACATGTCTAAAGTAAGTATATTAAACACAGTGACAGGTGACTGATGGTATACAGTCCATATTAATATTTACCTGTATGTGAAAATGACAAAGGGTTGAGCTGAAGGTGATAGAGATAATTTACTTATGATGTAAAGCTTAATGTTTACAGTGAAGCAATAAATTGGTTCATCCTCTGACGGAAGAGAGACCTGGCGCCTCAGTAGATGGATGGACAGTATTGACAAGCGAGAAAAGAAAGGGGAGAGAGGGGGAGATGAGTACAGAGAACTTGGTACTCGCAAGTAGACAATATTTGAAACTTGAATGTGGATGAGAATTTATGATCATAGAACACGAGGTTGATGAAGCTATTCAGGGATGACAGGTGTGTGTGTGTGTGTGTGTGTGTGTGTGTGTGTGTGTGTGTGTGTGTGTGCAGAACGCTGAATATACACCATATCTAATCACAGTTCTGTATTAATTAGTCATGCACCAAACAAGAAAGTATTTGGAAACTGTTTATACTTTATATGCAATAAGTATTTTATTTCACTGTCTATTTTGTATGGGTTTCTGCCTTAGTCTTGTAAATGTCTATCTCTCTATATTACATTAATAATTCATAACCTGTATTATCTATGAAATTATATATGAATAGTGTTACTAAATTTTCTTTATATCCTCCTCAAAAAATTGAATCTATGTATCTGTCGTAATTACTCCTCTCCCACCAGTGTTGAGGAAGAGTCCAAAGGCAAAGATTTTTCGCAGGACAGAGAAAACAGGAAGACTTGTCCACCATAAGCGTGTATGTAACGTGGTACAGAAAAGCTAAAACAGAAAGTCGAAATATTACACACACACACATATTCGTTCATCTTCAACATGCAAACTGACATAAAAATTATAATCCAACATACTTGTCCACATTCTGAAATAACAAAGGATAACATTCTTCATTTATATATCAAATTCCTAAAACGGATTTTGTTCATTAAGATATAACTAACTAATACACTTTACTTCCTGAAACTACATTCAAGAATAAGAGTATTAAATCATTACAATATTTTCTCAAAGTTTATATCACGACGCAGATTACTATAGGGGTCCACATTGTCCACGAGTTGTGTAAATTTCGTTATAGAACAAAAAAAAAAGTGTTGCTGATCAAGTGTGTATGGAACCTGGAACCTGGCAGGAAAATTTTCTTGTGTTTGTGGATCTCTATATGAAGTTTGATGAAATAAAGATCTTGTACACAATCAGGGAATTCTGGAAGGACAGAAAATTGATAACAAACTTGGACAAGAAACGGTGACTAGGATATTACGTTGACAAGTATTTACATCAGTCCTAAAATGACCATAGCTAAAATGAATCTATTGCTTCATCAACATCAAATTTAACTTCGTATCATGAGAGACACAAGAAGAAGCGTTTGTTACTTGGTTGGCTTCAGTAACTCTCTTCACTAGCGTCCAGTATCACATAATAGTTAGGAATAATGACATTTTTTACTAAAGAAAAAAATTGACACAAAATGCAGATAAAGATATATTGTGTGTCCTCCGCCACAGACCTGCGTCATCTCTGGTACTGATCTAGGATTTGGATTCTCCCAAGGCAGCGAGGCAACAGTCCACTCAATACCTTCCTTAACAATACCACTGAATAATTTCGTTTTTATCAAATTAGATATCGAGAAAGTTTTAATCAGGGCAAAAGAGAAGACGTAACCTGGGTCATCCATCTCCGTTTTATGAGCGGGTGTGATGAAGGACTAACTCTGCTGTGTTCAGTTTATGAGACAGTTTCAGCCATGTATCTGGTCATTTCATAAAGGTCAACGGTCTAATAGCGCAATTTAACCCTTTAAAGAATCTGATATCACTTGACGATATATATGGTTAACACTACACATAAGCCATGCTGAAGATACAAAAGTTCCTCCTTCGTCGCTCACAGCAAATAAGTAATATAAAGTAACAATAATAAACAGTTTAATAACGACTCTTTTGGTGTGATTAAACAGTTGTGGACCATGAAGCACCTGCGTCTACACTCTGAGGATAACTCTTATAAACCCACAATCTGTATAACTTTAATGTGTTCTCTTCTCTTGGTGGAAACACTGAAAGCAGTATGATGGTGAGGGAAACAAAGTAATCTCATTAGCGGGCATCTGTTATTATACAGCAGAGTGGATAATTTTAACACGAAGACTTAACTTGATTCCTGCCAGACAAAACAGTCAATTAAATGTTACTTGTGAATAAATTTATTGTGGTTGTCAGTCACGATCATAACTTTTGTTTATAAACAATGGCGGGATGAGTCCAAGGACAGATGGGACTTTATATATGGATAAGACCTCTCACTAGTTCATCTGGTGTAGACTCTCCGAGCTCTCACCACCTCAATCACCACCACCAATACCACCACTACCACCAATACCACCACAACCACGACCATGGTAAGTTTTCACGCACATTACATCTGCAGGAAAACCTTTTTTTTTAATATCATAAAAAATCTTGCTTCAAATATTACCAAATTTAACATTAAAGAATTCTTGTTAGAAATAAGGTAACATACTCGTATATCCTCTTTATGATATCTGTATTCTGTGTCAATTTTTTCTTTAGTAAAAAATATCATTATTCCTAACTATTATGTGATACTGGACGCTAGTGAAGAGAGTTACTGAAGCCAACCAAGTAACAAACGCTTCCTCTTGTGTCTCTCATAATACGAAGTTAAATTTGATGTTGATGAAGCAATGGATTCATTTTAGCTATGGTTATTTTAGCACTGGTGTAAACAATTGTTAACATCGTACTTCACTACAGCTGTGTTGTTCCCACAGAGAGTACAGTTGGCATTAGTGCTGGTGGGCGTGTGGCTCACCCTAGCTGCCGCTCTCCCCTTGCTCAGGCGTCGATCACCGAAGGAAGTCGGAGCCGGTATTAAAATATTACTTTTCATTTCATTCACTTTTTTATGTTTAAGTGAATGATGAATTAATTATATGATAAGAAATGCCGATGTCATATGCTTATGTTTATGAAATTAAGGAAACAAAAAACAATGTTTTATAATTTATGTACAAAAAGTTTTGACGTGGGTTAAATACCTCATCAGTTAACCTGTACAATCACTAAGCAACTTCTTGTCTAATCCAAACCCAATGGAAGATATAGTTTAGATATTTGAACAGCCATGGGAAGTAATCTGAGACGTAGACCAGATAAAACAGCTTCTCAGTATCACACTGTTGCCCTCAGACTTCGATGCCTTTGGTGAAGGGAACACCTTCTTCGACAGCGCCCTTCACTCTCATTCCCTCGGCAAAGGTCCAGACCACAGCCAAGCCAGTAAGTACAGTGAAACCTCCATATAACGGACTTCTGTCTCCAAATAAATCCGTTAGATGTAGGTCTATTATATAACAAACCCTTGATATAACTTAACTTCCTCTCAATATTGTCCTTTAATTAGAATATCACTGTGTTATACGTCCTTCAGCCTTAAGATGAGTTACCTACACTCTCAGGTAGACGAAACATAAATACATTTTCTTGTCTCTCATATACCTGCTGCTGTGAATGTTAAGGAGTCCAGTATATCATTGTGTTATAGTTTACGTAGAGAACTTCCCTTCTAATTATATAATGAAGTTCTTCATTCTTGAGAGATGATAATAAATGCTTGTGTGTATATAGTCAATATCAGGTTCATAAGTGTTTGTATCGTGTCATAAGTAATACAAAATCTGCAGAAATTGTATTCACATATTTTAATGTTGGGATTGTATCATCTAGATTTTAACCAACGGCGGTGTGTTGTGACTAAGCTGGGATAGGTAGAGTGATAAAGATGTAGTGGGAAGTAGTTAGAGAGAGAGAGAGAGAGAGAGAGAGAGAGAGAGAGAGAGAGAGAGAGAGAGAGAGAGAGAGAGAGAAGATAAAATACACCCGCCAGATCCTCATCCTCACCCTCTTCCTCACACAGAACTTAAGAGTATCCTTGCTGGTGAGGGCAAGATGAGTTCGAATACTAGCACCCGACTGAAAACCCGTGGCATCAACACCAGCGGCCGTGCCCGTAAGTAGCGACTCGTGAGAAGGTGTGAGTTTGTGTGCAAGGAGCAGACATATGGTTCGGCTTCTGCTTATGGAAGTCATGCTTTTTGCACTTGGCTTCGTTTTGGCTTTGACTACGAAACTTTCTAAGGCTTCGGCGAAATTTTGACCTGTCGTGTCGGCACCAAAATTACAGACAAGCATGTCAGTGACCAGTGCCGACACAAGAGCATAAGGTCACAGGAAACAGCGAGTGAGCATTAACGTCAGTAACTCCGATTGGGGTAACGTCAAAAGTGGAGTACCCCGAGGCTCAGTACTTGGACCATTATTATTTATTACATACATAAACGACATAGATATAGGCGTAGACACATAAGTAAATTTGCTGATGACACTAAAATAGGGTGTATAATTACATCTGACGAGGACTCCGCAAAACTACAGGGAAATCTAAAAAAAAATTTCGAATGGAGATGTAAACAGAAAAACCAGATACCAGATGAATAACAATGCTATAGAGAAATCCGACTGTGAGAAAGATTTAGGAGTAATGATAAGTAGGAATCTTAAAACTAGTCAACAATGTGTATTTGCTCGAAACAAGGTTAATAAAGTACTTGGGTTCACACAAAGGAGTGTTAGTTACAAGACTAGAGAGGTTATCCTAAAATTATATCTTGCCCTTGTGAGACCTCACTTGGATTACGCACTTCAGTTCTGGTCACCGTACTACAGAATGGATATAGAATTCCGAGAAAGAATTCAGAGGAGAATGACAAGACTAATCCCGGGCATTAGGAACCTTGAGTAAAGAGACAGGTTAATTTGCACTCCCTCGAGAGACGTAGAGAGAGGGGCGATATGATAGAGGTGTATAAATGGAAGTCAGGGCTAAACAAAAGTGATATAACAAAGGTACTCAAACTATCCAACCAGGAGAGAACTCGTATCAATGGTTTTAAATTAGACAAATTTAGATTTAGGTGCGAGATAGGTAAACATTGGTTTGGAAATAGAGTAGTGGGTGAGTGGAACAAGTTATCAAACATCATCATTAACTCGAATACGCTGGGTCGCTTCAAACATAGGTTGGATGGATATATGAGCGATAGAGGTTGGGTGTAAATGGGACTGCCCAGTATGGCCCGCTGCAGTTTCCTCCATTCTTACATTCTTATGTTCAATCAGGTCAGCATCTTAACCCCAGATAGTGCTAAGGAGGATTAACTTTAGAGAAGGTCATGTCATTTGTAAGTAGGCCATGGACCTTGATCTGACGTTTCATGAACTGAGATCCACACTTGCATCACAAATTATCCCAACTGGTCTTTTCTCAAAAGAACCAGACCTAAACATTGGAATAGATCAAAGATTCCTTTGAGAACCTGATTCCTCAAAATATTTCTCTGTGATTTATGTCAATAAATTACCATGTTTATGCATTGTGGTTAAAATAAAATTAGAGAGACAAATTGTTACAATAAGCAACATTTTCACCCCATAGGAGGAGTCAAAACTTTCCCGAGAACAATCAACTTAAAATAAAATCAACTTATCTCAAGCTGCAACTTACATATTCTCATCAACATATAAAGTAATACAGTATATTATATGATTAATGGTGTTAAGGTCTCACGAAGCCTTCAAAGCCTTGGTTGAAGGCTTCATGGCGTTATAATTAATGGGTTCGGATTCGGCTTCATGACATTCCAATGGCTATGGCTTCAAATTCGTAGGCTTGGCTTCGTGCCCATGCCTGGTAAGGAGTGAGTCACGACCTGGCTCTCCTGGTGATTTATTCATCACTAAGAATTATAAAGTACCTTAATAGGTAAAATAATATTGCTGGATCATGATTTTTTTCTCTCCAGATTCTTCCGCCGAGAACAAAGGATTAAAAGGAGCGTTTATAGGGACTCAGGATGTCAAGAGTCTCGAAAACTACGGATCTGAGGCAATATCAAGTAAGTTCTTCAGTTCCATCTGACCAGAAAGTTTCATTAAGATTATCAGTTAATTTTAGAACTTGGGTTTTAAATCAGAGTCCAATAATTCCCTTTGTGATTGTATTATTTGTGGTGTTACGTTGACTGTCATCAATTACAAATCCTAATACAGGTCCAGTAATTTTCTTGTAGTGTGAGAATGATAAAGCCAATATGATAACCCAAGATGACAAAGGTCAAGAATTTATGGTTAACTGAAGACAGATGTTATCTTCACTTAGAAAACTTGATGTATTGTAGAGTAACGGAGGAAGTCAAACATTTTGTCTTCTGCATCAACAAGTGATTCGGTCATAACAAGAGTGACCAGCTAGGATGGTTCTCAGGGTGGTGAAACCATATTAATATTAACACTACTGTGTATAATGCCTCTTGTGTTAGTTTGGTTAATTAACACAGCAGCCACGAACGTCACTGTGCACGAGTAACTTTCCATCACATCTGGTGGAAAACAGATTATACTTAAGTCTTTAATTTCTGTTTTTTTAAGGCCTTCGTGGACGTCATGCAGGCCAAGGTCGTGTTAGTGGCAGGACTGGAGCATCAACTAGAACCGAAATTCCAGAGTAGCATCCAAACCTGACAGGTGAGTTGGTCTACCTGAGTCACTAATCATGATCTACCTGAGTCACCAATAATCACCCGACTCATGCTACGATCACTAACAATCTAGCGCTGATTATGACAAGTTGGGTGAATTGATTTTAATTTGTCTAAGTATTAATATTTCTTGTAACACCTACTATATTTACAGTACCTGCTTTTATTGTGCCATCAAAACCGTTTTATCGGAAATTTTCATGTAAATAGATAAGAAATTACCATTGCAATAAATATTTGCCAACTAGACATAATCCTGACAGCTCTGTCCTCTTGTTCAACCTTAATACTGCACAACCCATGTTGTACTGCTCCCCCATTATACTTATGTTTTTCAATTCTACTGTAATTAATGTATATATTTATAATATATATACAAAAAATAAACTAAAAAAAATAATAAAGAAATAAAATAAATACATATTGAAGTGATAACCGTGGTAATATTATGAGATGTTCTTATTTTTGTTTTCTTCTTCTTTAAAGACATGGCCTCCAGCCTCCCCCAATAGCCACACCTTCGCCACCATTTTATTACCTTAATATTAAATATCCTAATACATAAGGAGCTATCCTAGCTGTGTTGGGTTAGTTGAGCCGCAGATCTATGCAGCATTCAGTGACTGTAGCCTCATAGTCAATATCTGCAACTGTTGTCGGCTTTGGGGCCTATGCTCTCGTTCCCCTGAGGCAGAACAAAGCCGACCGAAGGAGAGAGAAGGACAGTCGACATCTCATCCAGGCTGTAACATAACTTCTGGGCTGTTGCTTCTGTTCGGAGATCAACTCCACGAGTCTGGCGTAGAAACATCTTGCACGTGGTCCCATCCCACCAGAGGTTGTGAACACTAGAGGAGTGAAGCTGCCTTGATCAACATTCTGAATTCTCTCCCCGTATGCCCTTATCTTGTCGTTCTCGTTCCTCCTGTGTGCAGCATCGAGAGCTAAGTTATGGTGACATGCGGCCATGGGATAAAAAATCCTGATGTCGAAGAAGGTTCGCTGTCCCAGCGTCCAGAATCCTCGAGCACTGACGTCAACACGGGCTTCGTTGAATGTGTTTGAAGTCCAATGTTGGAAAATCTCACCGTCCAATGGAAGGAGGGTCGGTTCTACTCTGACATCACGGCAGATTTCCTTCAACATATTTGCTGTGAGATCCCTTATTTCATCATGCCTCATGCATATGAAGCCCGCTTTCTTGCACACCATGGTGTGATCGACTTCATAGGAAGAGTCACACACGCATTGGGTGGGCAAACCTTCTACTGGCCAACCGTACCTTAGATGTTCTTATTACCACAATGCTATTGTACTATTCCAGATGATACTAAATGTTACATAATACTTCCTTGAGATAAATGTATATTATATATCAGGTGCCTAAAAGAGAGCTCAGGTTCTCAACTGGCTCAGCCATGTTAATATTGGTATTATTATCCACTCTGTATCTGTGTTTTTCTGGTTTAATAAACTGTTTCAATTCAATTTAATTAAATTTAAATTAAACAGGTGATACAATGAAACTCGACGCCTTTCTCACACCAGGTAAAGTCACCTCAAAGGTTCAGAGATATAGTTGTGAGTTTCACTGTTAAATAAACTACTGTAGTTCTTTAGTAATCTTTCTAAATATATTGATAATTAAGAACGACAGTGTAGTTCATTTGACTTTACTTCAACCATTATATTGTCTGCTGTATGACGTGCTGTACATCACAGGTAACTTGCGACAAATGAAGTATAAGACCATCTTGTTGCGCCAACACACCTGTGCAATAGGCCTCCGAGAAGCAGAAGCTACCTTGATGGAAATACTGGACATCTGTAGACACTGTAGTCAAGTGAAACCACAGCATCAGCACCAGCACCAGATACCTTCATGAACTGTGGCTACCTGGCGCCAGATATTTGTGAAGTAACAAAACTTGTGTAAATTAAGACACACCATGACTTGTAACTAAAATAAATTGGAAACAAAATGAAGACAGTTTCCTATCTCCTTTATAGCAGTCTCTTATCATGACCTCAGGGTGACAATAGTAATACTTCACGGGACTTTTTAGTATAACAAAAACTATATCTAAATGATTCATAAAAATTCTAATGTTTACAATATTTTCTTCCTTTGTTTCATTCTCACCTCTCTGTTATGGTTAATGACACGTGTTGAGAGTAATGAACACAAACTATTACATCCACCTGACTGTGCTGATACAAGGGGCGTGTTTAGTCTGTTTATTCTTTAGATGTACAAGGACAAAATAATTAACTTATATTAAAAGAAGAATACTTGAGGTTTACAGATGATAACTTATGTCCCAGGTGGAGAATGATGTTGCTATAATATCACATACTCTGTGTCTCACCTAAGCTTACCCACAAAAGATACAGTGTTGGACAATAGTGATATTGCTCTTTCGGTTTTAAGTCAGGTAGACAACATGAGATACTCTTTAAGTGTTCCCACATACTCAGTCACGGCTGAAGAATAAAATCCTGGGCGAAAATGACCAACAGAAACACCTAGATAAATTTACCTTTCTTTTTACACATATTTACAAATAAAAGGTAAAAGACATAATATAAATGCACATCCAACTTAACTGGGAGTCAGCATAAGCACCACTGACTCCCACCTAACATTCCCTAGGAAAGGATGCACAAACCTTAGGCCACATGGAGAGAGGATAGAGAGGCAGAGACAGATATCTGCCCTTAACCAAGTTCTGGAGACAACAAAGGGAGAAAGAGAGGGAGAGACATCTGCCCTCAAGCAAGGCTGGTGTAAGGCAGAGGGATGGCCTGGATCTGCAGAGGTGCTGACTCATGTCGAATGGAGAATTATGTTGATATGAAAAAACAAAGGTCAAAGGTCTTCCTACACACCTATGGTACTTACTTCTGTTCACTGTTTATCTAAATATATTCCAGTCCTAACTCCTTCCCATCCCACACTACCACTCTGAGGAACTTTCTGCATCCGAGTGTTTTCGAAATGTCACATTACATCCATCAGCTCTCAAGCCATCCTGTTTAAAATTATTTCATACTTTGGCAAGGAAACACCCAGTAATTAGCTTTGACAGAACAATTTGCTAGATCTCTCTCAGTACTTTTTGTTTGTTAAGAAAAGGCGGTTTCTGCGAAGTAGAGAGACTGACCACCCACGAGTATAATATCCTACGACACTAAGCAGAACAAGATAGAAAATCTTGATTCCTATATTATGTACGAATAGTGGTTAATATCAGGCTGGCGGCTCATGGCCAGACAGCGATCTTCATTGACGCTCATTTTCTCATGACTTACAAAATCTCTATGTAGTAATGCAATACCAGATCAAAAGCAACATTAGCCTCACCTACATTACTGTACAGAAACAAAAGATCTTCAGATCCTCAAACCTGAAAATCTGACACACTAGAGTCAAGACGGGACCAAAATATTACCTTAGACCAGTGGTTCTCAACCTGGGGCCCATGGTCCCCAAGGGAGCCACTGCAAGAATTTAGGGGAGCCACGGTGAGCTGTTATAAATTGTACGTTTCCAAATAATGTTGGGAATCTGAATTAAACAAAACTTGTATTACTTATTTTGACTTGGCAGAAGAGAATTTTCATTCTTTTTTTGTCATTTTGTTTAATCATAACGACAATACAATTTTAATATTTACATACTCTGGTGCTGTTTTTATTTTTTTATTTTTTACGGATTATTTAAGATTTCACAGGTCCAGTCCCTGTCTGTGTGACAGGGACTATCACACACACTCCACTCTCTCCTGGAGAATATATGGGAAAAACAGGAAATCCCCCAAGCTCCTAGAGAGGCCTCCATCGTCAATATTTATATGAACAAGGGAGACCGGTCAGACTGTGGCAACAACCGCAGGATCTCACTGCTCTCTGTAGCTGGCAAGATTATCGCCCGAGACCTCTTAAACAGACTTCTTCCTGAGACGGAAACTTTCTCCCAGAATCACGTGGCACTGACCATCACCAAGACCTCATCTGCAAATTTGGTGAGAAGCTTCTGCACCATCCTAGACACCGGCTCCTACTACCACCTGAGATCCCTCGCCCGAGAATTGCTGTTCGACACCACAACCGCATCCAGCCCATACTACTGTAGTACGAACTGATCGCTATAAGAACAGCCCAGTCCCAACCATTGTAAAAATTATCAATAACTTGTAATAAACTAGTGTATTCACTCCCAGTCAATCTTACTTTTTGCACTGTCAGTATGTTGAAATGCCCTGTAGTTTGAGCTTCTCCCCACCTAGTTATTATATATCATGTTTGTATCACTTATGTTACTTGTATATTATTTGTAAATCAAGAGACCCATTCACCAATTATGTAACTGTATATTTTCAGCCTTCTCGCTGCCATGCTCCTTCAATAAACCGTTAATTATTATTATTATTATTATTATTATTATTATTATTATTATTATTATTATTTTTATTATTATAATTATTACTATTATTATGTGATCTTTGCTGCCCGCCAGATACAGGAAAAGTGCACAGAACAGCGTCGTGACCTTTACATGGCTTTCATGGACTTAACTAAGGCCTTCGACTCGGTCAACAGGGAAGCCCTCTGTAGACCCTCAGCCGTTTTGGCTGCCCACCAAAATTCATCGTCATTGTGAGGGAACTCCACGATGGCATGAACGGCAGTGTCCTGCACAACGGCACCCAGTCTGAGTTCTTCCCCATCCAAACAGGGGTTAAACAAGGGTGTGTACTGGCACCAACTTTCTTTTCCATTTTCTTGGCTGCCTTTCTTACTCGTGCCAGTGCCAATTTAGCCGGTGGGGTGGACATCTAGTACCGGTTGAGGGGTCTTTTCAAAATATGATGACTCCAGGCAAGAACAAAGGTGTCGGCAGCTTCTATTACTGAACTTTAGTATGCAGACGACCTCACCCTTGATGCTCACACTGAACGCGACCTATAGGAGATCCTGAACACCTACGCAGATGTGTATGCACCCTTCGGCCTTGAGGTGAATGTACGTAAGACTCAGATTCCCTTTCAGCCAGGGGCTGGTTCAGACACGCCTCCACCGTCCATCCAGCTTAATGGTACTACCCTCTCTAATGTTACCCACTTTCGGTATCTTGGCTCCCACCTGTCCACCACCGCAGACATCAATGAAGAGATTCAGCATCAGATCAGATGTGCATCTCAAGCCTTTGGTTGACTCCGAAACCGTGTCTTCAGCTGTAGGGAGGTGAAATTATCCACAAAGTTCCACGTATATCGAGCAGTGGTCCTCCCCACCCTGCTATATGGCAGCGAGAAGTGGGTCACATACAGGAGGCATCTCAAGGCACTTGAAAACTTTCACCAGCTTGGTCTACGTTCCATCCTCCGAGTTCGCTGGGAAGACAAGAGAACAAATGCCAGTATTCTTGCTGACAGCAACTGTAGGAGCATCGAGGCATGAACAACTATGCTGGACTGGCCATGTTACCCGCATGGACGACAGTAGACTGCCAAAGCAGCTACTTTACAGTCACCTAACGAATAGTAAACGTAACGCTGGCGGGAAACTGAAAAGGTAAAAGGATAGTCTTAAGACAAACCTGAAAAAGTGCCAAATTGACCCCTTTACCTGGGAGACGATTACTCCACATCGTAACGCTTGGAGGAGCACCACACGAGAAGGTGTCAATACTTTCGAGTTGGCCCGACTGCAAACCGAGGCAGACAAGCGCCAACGCCGGAAAGACGTTGCCACCGCCCCTCCTGCACTCGATGTAGCCCTCCACATGCGCAACATCTGTGAACAACTCTGCCGGTCCCGTATAGGCCTCTTTAGTCACCACAAAACTCACCAACTTGGTGACATCCTTAATAACTTATATCATTGTATCATAGCTGGATGATAATCATACTAGATTCCGAGTGACAGCAAAGTTCTAGTAGTGAGTGTGTGTGTGTGTGTGTGTGTGTGTGTGTGTGTGTGTGTGCTGGCATGACAATATTGCGAAACACTAAACATCTAAATTGGTACCACTCTGTGAAGAAAAAAAAAACATTGATTTCTCACGAAATGTGATCATGGAAATCTGGCGGAATACAGTATATTACATAAACAGTTCGAGAATATAATGGTCTATTTTTTAGTTCGTGGGGACGCTGTGAGAAACTCTTTTACAATAAGTGTTCATTAATTCTGTGATCTGACCACAACAATATGCATGACATGTTTCAAGGTCAACATATAGATTATGATTTTTATTGTGACAAATTATGCAATTGAAGTATTTTTTCTGTTGTAGAAATAGTTAATTCGTCTCTCTTGCTTCATAAATTTTGACGGAGTGCACGAAGACATGCCTGAGCATAACAACCTGTAATAAGGGATCCGAGACACATTCCTCACACTTCCTCACATTCATATTTCAACATCCATAAGCAGGAGACGAAGGCCGGTTTTTAACCAATCAACTCGAGCAATTAATTGTTTTCTATTTGGAGTTAAAGCCGTCCAAGGGTAATATTTCTTATACAAATGAACTAATAAGTATTAGTCCAGACGTTGAGTGTGTTGGGAATATTGATGAAGCTAACCATTGTTTTAGTATTACCCTATCCCAGGATAATTGTGTGTGTGTGTGTCTGTGTGTGTCTGTTAAATAGAGGACTAACTGACCCTCGTTCTAGGAGGGGTGGCAATAAATATATGGAGACTTTAGTAATGTTTTAGTTAAGTTGTTTTGCACCAGAGAAATATATATGTCCAGAAAACTTACTTGTGCTCTATCAGATTACAAAGTTTTAATAGATTTTTTTTTAGAATTCTAAGAACTATTTAATTATCTATATTATAAAGGTAGTTTGATTAAATATTGACAAAGTGAAAATAGTTTCCATTAGATCAGAGCAGCTTGGATATATCACACTGCATACAAGACAAAAATGTTACTGGCACTGCGCTCGATTGTCTTCACCTTCTCAAGTGTAAAGTTAAGTACCCATCAACAGCTGATTGAACTTAGTGTATTCCAGGATCGATCTTAGAGCATGAAGCGAGTCCCGTAATCACCTGGGGAACATGTAGCTGGTATCAATCAATATCTTTATTTTAAAATTATTTGTAAACTTAGTGACTCTTTTTAATTAGTTTACCTTTATGACACGTCCAGATGATGTATAAACAGTACACGACCTTGACGCATGTTGTTCTATGTTTAAGGTTTAAGGATGTCACCTGTGTGTAGTTTCCGTGTCTGTCTCCCCTCGTCCACGATATGGTAATAGACCGGGAGCCTAAAGGGTTTTATTCTTGTGAGAGACGCCAAAATGTTTGGCCTCATGGGCTGAAGACATCCTCACCCGACATTCCAAAAATGGATTGGTGCCGGGTCTGGGGTGTGGCTTTGCCCCTGAAATCACCCCTGAAAGTGGATAAAAAGTGCCAGTTATTTAATACAAGAGCACTAAGGATAAAATCAGTGCCAAACCTTTCCTTGTGGTCCACTGAGTGTGAAATGACTAATGGCAGCAATGTTAGGTGTGGCTCCCCCCCCCCCCGCCAGCAACACCCAATTCTTGCATTATCCATTAATTTCAACGACCATTAATGACTAATGAATAAGTCACCCATTGAAATTGTATAATTTTCTATGACTGACACCCCAGTACATTTTCGGTGAAAAACGCTTGTTTACATTTTTGAGGCAATGTTTGCAATGCAAAACTGCCCACCTACTGCATTAATATTACATTGATACTCAGTCATTCCTCCCTATAACACCCCTTTTGTACAAACTCCTCTACACTCTATATAAATGAGTTTACAGGAGAGCAACACACAACGATGCTATCCTACCTGAAGATTATATTTCAATATATTCCTGCAGTTCATTAACAGTATATCATCAAGCCTTAAATTTCTAATTTTTTTACTGTATAATAAACAGTCAAGACGCCTCTCGTACGCTGTAATAGTGTAACCTTATACAGAGAAAGAAGTGCTTACAATGTGTAGCATAACAGTGCTGAGAATACATCGAATATACATACAGACTCTGGCCGTGGAATAAGAAAACGACGCATTTATGATGTGAACAGTAAACATTGTTCTTAAACTCAATAATAAGTTTCCCTTTGTATCTCTAAATTATGGTACACAGTGTACTTGAACTACAGTATACAAACTCGTAGCCAGGGTGACTGTGTGTATCTCCTGTAGTCACAGGTAATAAGCATCACTTGGACACCTTAATTAATTATCTATTGATGTTATTGTAAAAATTTAGACTTACAGGTATACTTACATTGTTGAGTAATGGTGTGTGTGTGTGTGTGTGTGTGTGTGTGTGTGTGTGTGTGTGTGTGTGTGTGTGGCGCCACCGAACCTCTCAAGCTGAACAAAATCCGAATCAAATTCTTTACACACTATACGTGACATAAATTACTTGTGACGAGTGGAAAAGTCGTATATTTTTTCTCTGGTCTTGTTGTATGGAAACACACACACTAGACTCGTTAATTGGCTGACTTTCACACCAGGCGTGGTTATCAGCAGTGGCTATACAAGCTCACGCCTCAACCTTGACGTTTATTGCCTTTATATTGATAAGGGATGCAAGCTCAATTTAGTGTAGGTGTGAGACCTGGACCATCCATCTAGTCTGGACGCCTCGCCCACCCACAATGGTAAGCAGGGGGAAGGAGGGCAAACATTATCAACAGTAAGTTGAGAAAATATGTATAGAATTCAAGCCGGTGACTCTATTACCTTATAGCTGATACCTATCATATTTCACTCACCTGAGGCGTCACCACACCCGTATTATACCCCCATCACACCAAACTCACAGAAGACTTTCATTGTGTTCAAGTGCAGATCATGAGTGTTGACAAAGGCAGTAACAGCCATTGATACATAAAGAGAATTCGGGTACGTTCGTAAGTGCTTGATACTGGAGCTGAAACAAAAAGTGAGCAGTCAGGTGTCTTGTGGCATTCATTGAGTTATGATGTCTTACCTACGTGACCCTGAGGCAGACCCAAAGGGAGGGGGGGGAGATTAGCAGTGACCGGTACAGTAGTGTAACAGTTCTTGGACGCCCTTATAATATATTTCTTTATTAATCTGGGACATAATGACGGTGAAGTGTATCAGTGCCTCAGGTTGGTTTAAACTGTTGATTATCTTTTCAGAGTACCATAGAGACAATAAAGAATGGGTTTGATGTCTCGTAATTCATATTTTGTGTGTGTGTGTGTGTGTGTAGGGGGGGTGTTAAGGTCTAAGTTTTACCTTTGTCTGATCGAGCTGTTCCCAGAATGCTTCACTCCCCATTCATTTAAAGAATCATGGTGGTCTATTCACTTATGCACTTGTTACTTAACTAGTTAGTCCCAGGGTAGTGACTTATGGCAGGGATTAACTACAAGTTTTCTGACTGTATGTACACGTATATATTCTCTGATTAGGTACAGAGACTGCTGAGCTAACACCCCTCTACAATAGACTTAGATAGGTTATTCCTCCATGCCAGCCAGTGACTAACTGACTAATTCGCGGCACATGCGCCAAGGGTGGAGCTGCTATGACTCAGTCTCACTCACCATCATGTGACAACCCAGGTGTTCAAATTTACATTTGAAATTGCAAACTGATGCATTCGCTCAGCAGTCAGGAGGCGACATCCAGAGGGAAAGTCAACCCCTGTTTAAAAATCTGGGGTTATTCGCAGGGCGTCTGGCGCCATGGAGTCGGCAATCATTCTACGAAATATCAATAATCTTATAAAACTGATAGGTAACGATGCTAGTAATGATCTGTTCTTAGATAAATTAAGTTAGATTAAGATTGCCATCTGCTCGGGGCGTCTTACAAATTGGACTTCTGATAACCACCTGGGATGACGACTTACATAATAATAATAACAATAATAATAATAATAATAATAATAATAATAATAATAATAATAATAATAATAATAATAATAATAATAATAATAATAATAATAATAATAATAATAATAATAATAATAATAATAATTATTATTAAAGGTTTATTGAAAAAGTTGGCAGCCCAAAGGCTGAAAATATACATTGGACAAAATTGACTTATTACATACAAAGACATGGGGTGGGTGGGTCGTTTAACAAAAGCCTTCATTTCTGAAAGAAGAAGGAACAATGATTGAACATACAAATTATTATAGTTTACAGTTGATGGCCCGGGCCTGGACTGGTCATGGAGACACCAGGTGGTGTGGTGTTCACGTGGTGTAGTAACTCGTCCCCGGGAGTGGATATGAAGGACCTCACGTGGTCATGGGGACACCAGGTGGTGTGGTGTTCACGTGGTGCAGTAACTCGTCCTCGGGTGTTGATATGAAGGACCTCACGTGGTCATGGGGACACCGGGTGGTGTGGAGTGGTGGTCACAGTACCCCACCCTACTGAGTGGTGTTGTGTTATTTCGAAGTCAGGTGTGAAGCCGACCCACTGTTGTTCCCATGGTGGACGGATTAGCACCTCCTTGTCAGAAGATGGCGGTCAGTTCCCAGGGGTGCTTAACTCACTGGTAGGTCACGGTTCTCACTGGTACTATCTAGTGCTGAATTCACTGGCTTAAACACTGTTCATCACTGTTCAACACTGCTTCCACCTCTTTCCGAAACGAAATTGTCACTTTTGATTATGTTGATATAAGAACATAAGAACATAAGAAAATAAGGAGTCTGCAATAGGCCGGTTGGCCTGTGCATGGCAGCTCCTGTCGAGAGTTACTACCACTCTATCATCCATGAATCAATCTAGCCTCCTTTTAAAACTTTCCAGCGTTTCAGCACTTACTACAAAGTTGCTAGGCTTGTTCCACTCGTCCACCACCCTATTTGCGAACCAGTTTCTTCCTATCTCCCTCCTAAACCTAAAATATCCAACTTAAATCCGTTGCTACGAGTCCTATCCTGCCCAGATATTATAAGAACTTTATCTATATCGCCTTTATTGATTCCTTTCACCCACTTAAATACTTCTATCATAACTCCCCGCACTCTTCGTCTTTCTAGGGAATGCAAGTTTAGTTTCTTTAACCTATCTTGATATGGAAGGTTTCTAAGTCCCGGAATCATTTTCGTCATTCTTCGCTGCACCGACTCCAGTGAATTTATATCCATTCTATAATAAGGGCACCAGAACTGAACCGCACAATCGAGGTGCGGCCTGACTAGCGCAAGATACAGCTGCAATAAGACCTCTGCACTCTTATTACTTACACTTCTAGATATAAAAACTAAAATTTTGTTTGCCTTATTTCAAACATTTTGGCACTGTTTTCTAGGCCGTAGGTCCGGGCTTACAAGTACCTCTAAGTCTCTTTCACAAGTCGACTTTTCTAGGTTGATGTTGTTAAGGCTGTATACATTGACAGTATTTGTTCTTCCAATATTAAGTACGCTGCACTTGCTGGTGTTGAATTTCATTTGCCATTTTTCTAACCACTCCTGCAGTTTATTTAAATCCCCCTGTAGCGAATTTGCATCCTACCCTGAATTAATCTGCCGCCCTATTTTGGTGTCATCCGCAAACTTGCTTATGTCACTGCTGATCCCAGTATCTAGATCGTTTATGTAGATTATGAACAAAAGTGGGCCTAGTACTGACCCCTGGGGAACCCCACTGGTTACACAACCCCACTCAGATTTAACACCATTTACACTGACCCTCTGTGTTCTGCCGGTGAGCCATGATATTATCCAATTCAAATCCCGGTGGTGAGGATGGGTCGGGGAGAGGGACTTGGGGAATGTGGCCGAACATTGGCCAAGGGAGGCCGCTGCTCACAGGAGCAGCGCCTGAATAGGTCTTGACCCTACGGTGGTCAGGGATGTAGACATGTATGTGTGTGTGGGTGTGTGTGTGTGTGTGTGTGTGTGCTCTTTATTGATAAGATACTAAAGGTATTATTGTTGTTGTACAGCAGGTGTGTGAGGGAGTATTGGTCTTCGCGGCGCTGGCGGGCGTCGTCTCCGCTACCAGTGCCTGCAAAGATGGCGCCACAGGTGTGTCCATTGACAGTGAAGGAAATGCTGTACCTGGTAATGCTGTAAGCCCTGGAGGAGGTATTATACCTGGTAATGCTGTAAGCATTGGAGGAGGTATTATACCTGGTAATGCTGTAAGCCCTGGAGGAGGTATTGTACCTGGTAATGCTGTAAGCCCTGGAGGAGGTATTGTACCTGGTAATGCTGTAAGCCCTGGAGGAGGTATTGTACCTGGTAATGATGTAAGCCCTGCAGCAGGTATTATACCTGGTAATGCTGTAAGCCCTGGAGGAGGTATTGTACCTGGTAATGCTGTAAGCCCTGGAGGAGGTATTGTACCTGGTAATGCTGTAAGCCCTGGAGGAGGTATTGTACCTGGTAATGCTGTAAGCCCTGCAGCAGGTATTATACCTGGTAATGCTGTAAGCCCTGGAGGAGGTATTGTACCTGGTAATGCTATAAGCCCTGGAGGAGGTATTGTACCTGGTAATGCTGTAAGCCCTGGAGGAGGTATTGTACATGATGCCATAGTAATGCCTGGTAAGACCATGAGTGAAGAGGAACCCGCTACAATGGATGGATGGGTCGGCACACACGGTCAAGAAGACGAACCATATCTGAGCGGAAAATCAACCATAGCCAACACTTCAGGTAAAACCGCCGGTAATGGGAACCTGAGGATATCTCCAGGTGGTATTAACGGTGGGATTAACTTTCCAATACCATATTATCCAGATATCTTTGGTACACCAACTCAGGTAGGCCCCGGTATTTCAAAACCAGATAGTACTGGTACACCAGCACAGACAGCCCCCGGTGTTTCAGAACCAGATATTACTGGTTCACCAACACAGACAGAACCCGGTATTTCAGAACCAGATATTACTGGTACAGCAACACAGACAGCCCCCGGTATTACAGAACCAGATATTACTGGTACACCAACACAGGTAGGCCCCGGTATTTCAGAACCAGATATTACTGGTACACCAACATTGGTAGGCCCCGGTATTTCAGAACCAGATATTACTGGGACACCAACACAGACAGCCCCCGGTATTACAGAACCAGATATTATTGGTACACCAACACAGGTAGGCCCCGGTATTTCAGAACCAGATATTACTGGTACACCAACATTGGTAGACCCCGGTATTACACAACCAGACATTACTGGTACACCAACACAGGTAGGCCTCGGTATTACACAACCAGACACTACTGGTACACCAACAGAGACAGTCCCCAGTAGTACAGAACCAGATATTACTGGTACACTGGCACAGGTAGGCCCCGGTATTTCACAAGCAGATATTACTGGTGCACCAACAGACACAGTCCCCGGTATTACACAAACAGACATTACTGGTGCACCAACACAGGTAGGCCCCGGTATTACACAACCAGACATTACTGGTGCACCAACACAGGTAGGCCCCGGTATTACACAATCAGACATTACTGGTGTACCAACACAGGTAGGCCCCGGTATTACACAACCAGACATTACTGTTGCACCAACACAGGTAGGCCCCGGTATTACACAACCAGACATTACTGTAGCACCAACACAGGTAGGCCCCGGTATTACACAACCAGACATTACTGGTACACCAACAGAGACAGTCCCCAGTATTACACAACCAGATATTACTGGTACACCAACAGACACAGTCCCCGGTATTACACAACCAGATATTACTGGTACACCAACACAGGTAGGCCCCGGTACTCAAATACCATATTATCCTGATATACTAAAGCACAAATTTCCCGGTATTGCACAACCAGACATTACTGGTGCACCAACACAGACAGTCCCCGGTATTTCACAAGTAGATATTACTGGTACACCAACACTAGTAGGCCCCGGTATTTCACAAGGAGATATTACTGGTACACTAACAGAGACAGTCCCCGGTATTTCACAAGAAGATATTACTGGTACACCAACAGAGACAGTCCCCAGTATTACACAACCAGACATTACTGGTGTACCAACACAGACAGTCCCCGGTATTTCACAAGTGGATCTTACTGGTAAACCAACACTGGTGGGCCCCGGTATTTCACAAGGAGATATTACTGGTACACTAACAGAGACAGTCCCCGGTATTTCACAAGGAGATATTACTGGTACACCAACAGAGACAGTCCCCAGTATTACACAACCAGACACTACTGGTGCACCAACACAGACAGTCCCCGGTATTTCACAAATGGATATTACTGGTACACCAACACTGGTGGGCCCCGGTATTTCACAAGGAGATATTACTGGAACACCAACAGAGACAGTCCCCGGTATTTCACAAGTAGATATTACTGGTACACCAACAGAGACAGTCCCCGGTATTTCACAACCAGATATTACTGGTACACCAACAGACACAGTCCCCGGTATTACACAACCAGATATTACTGGTACACCAACACAGGTAGGCCCCGGTACTCAAATACCATATTATCCTGATATACTAAAGCACAAATTTCCCGGTATTGCACAACCAGACATTACTGGTGCACCAACACAGACAGTCCCCGGTATTTCACAAGTAGATATTACTGGTACACCAACACTAGTAGGCCCCGGTATTTCACAAGGAGATATTACTGGTACACTAACAGAGACAGTCCCCGGTATTTCACAAGAAGATATTACTGGTACACCAACAGAGACAGTCCCCAGTATTACACAACCAGACATTACTGGTGTACCAACACAGACAGTCCCCGGTATTTCACAAGTGGATCTTACTGGTAAACCAACACTGGTGGGCCCCGGTATTTCACAAGGAGATATTACTGGTACACTAACAGAGACAGTCCCCGGTATTTCACAAGGAGATATTACTGGTACACCAACAGAGACAGTCCCCAGTATTACACACCAGACACTACTGGTGCACCAACACAGACAGACTGGTTACTGGTGCACCAACACAGACAGTCCCCGGTATTTCACAAGTAGATATTACTGGTACACCAACAGAGACAGTCCCCGGTATTTCACAACCAGATATTACTGGTATACCAACAGAGACAGTCCCCGGTATTTCACAACCAGATATTACTGGTATACCAACAGAGGCAGTTCCTGATATTTCACAAGGAGATATTACTGGTACACCAACAGAGACATTCCCCAGTATTACACAACCAGACACTACTGGTGCACCAACACAGACAGTCCCCGGTATTTTACAAGGAGATATTACTGGTACACCAACAGAGACATTCCCCAGTATTACACAACCAGACACTACTGGTGCACCAACACAGACAGTCCCCGGTATTTCACAAGTGGATATTACTGGTACACCAACAGAGACAGTCCCCGGTATTTCACAAGCAGATATTACTGGTACACCAACAGAGACAGTCCCCGGTATTTCACAACCAGATATTACTGGTATACCAACAGAGGCAGTTCCTGATATTTCACAAGCAGATATTACTGGTACACCAACACAGTTAGGCCCCGGTATTTCACAAACAGATATTACTGGTTCACCAACAGAGACAGTCCCCGGTATTTCACAAGCAGATATTACTGGTACACCAACAGAGATAGTCCCCGGTATTTCACAAGCAGATATTACTGGTACACCAACAGACACAGTCCCCGGTATTTCACAAGCAGATATTACTGGTACCACAGACACAGTCCCCGGTATTTCACAAGCAGATATTACTGGTACACCAACCAGACACAGTCCCCGGTATTTCACAAGCAGATATTACTGGTACACCAACAGAGACAGTCCCCGGTATTTCACAACCAGATATTACTGGTACACCAACAGAGACATTCCCCGGTATTTCACAAGCAGATATTACTGGTACACCAACAGACACAGTCCCCGGTATTTCACAAGCAGATATTACTGGTACGCCAACAGAGACAGTCCCCGGTATTTCACAAGCAGATATTACTGGTACACCAGCAGAGACAGTCCCCGGTATTTCACAAGCAGATATTAGTGGTACACCAATAGAGACAGTCCCCGGTATTTCACAAGCAGATATTACCGGTACGCCAACAGAGACAGTCCCCGGTATTTCACAAGCAGATATTACTGGTACACCAACAGGCACAGTCCCCGGTATTTCACAAACAGATATTACTGGTACACTAACAGACACAGTCCCCGGTATTTCACAAGCAGATATTACTGGTGCACCAACAGACACAGTCCCCGGTATTTCACAAGCAGATATTACTGGTACACCAACAGACACAGTCCTCGGTATTTCACAAGCAGATATTACTGGTACACAAACAGACACAGTCCCCGGTATTTCACAAGCAGATATTACTGGTACACCAACAGACACAGTCCCCGGTATTTCACAAGGAGATATTACTGGTACACCAACACAGGCAGTCCCCGGTATTACTCAAGCAGATATTACTGGAAGACCTACACAGGTAGGCCCCGGTATTACACAACCAGACTTTACTGGTGCACCAACACCAGTAGGGCCCGGTATTTCAGAACCAGATATTACTGGTACACCAACAGAGACATTCCCCGGTATTTCACAAGCAGATATTACTAGTACACCAAGAGAGACAGTCCCCGGTATTTCACTTCCAGATATTACAGGTACACCAGCAGATACAGTCCCCGGTATTTTACAAGCAGGGATTACTGGTACACCAACACAGGTAGGCCCCGGTATTTCAGAACCAGATATTACTGGTATACCAACAGAGACAGTCCCCGGTATTTCACAAGTAGATATTACTGGCACACCAACACAGACAGTCCCCGGTATTTCACAAGTAGATATTACTGGTACACCAACAGAGACATTCCCCGGTATTTCACAAGTAGATATTACTGGTACACCAACAGAGACAGTCCCCGGTATTTCACAAGCAGATATTGCTGGTACCCCAACAGAGACAGTCCCCGGTATTTCACAAGCAGATATTACTGGTACACCAGCAGATACAGTCCCCGGTATTTTACAAGCAGGGATTACTGGTACACCAACACAGGTAGGCCCCGGTATTTCAGAACCAGATATTACTGGTACACCAACAGAGACAAATCAGTATTTCTGAAAGCCGATATTGCTGGTACCCCAACAAGACAGTCCCGGTATTTCACAAGCAGATATTACTGGTACCTGTGAATGCACAGTCCCCGGTATTTTACAAGCAGGGATTACTGGTACACCAACACAGGTAGGCCCCGGTATTTCACAAGTAGATATTACTGGCACACCAACACAGACAGTCCCCGGTATTTCACAAGTAGATATTACTGGCACACCAACACAGACAGTCCCCGGTATTTCACAAGTAGATATTACTGGTACACCAACAGAGACATTCCCCGGTATTACACAACCAGACTTTACTGGTGCACCAACACAGGTAGGCCCCGGTATTTTGCAAGCAGATATTACTGGTACACCAACACAGGTAGAGCCCGGTATTACACAACCAGATATTACTGGTACACCAACAGAGACAGTCCCCGGTTTTTCACAAGCAGACATTACTGGTGCACCAACAGAGACAGTCCCCGGTTTTTCACAAGCAGACATTACTGGTGCACCAACACAAGTAGGCCCCGGTATTTCACAAGCAGATATTACTGGTACACCAACAGAGACAGTCCCCGGTTTTTCACAAGCAGACATTACTGGTGCACCAACACAAGTAGGCCCTGGTATTTCACAAGCAGATATTACTGGTACACCAACAGGGACAGCCCCCGGTATTTCACAAACAGATATTACTGGTACACTATCACAGACAGTCCCCGGTATTTCACAAGCAGATATTACTGGTACCCCAACAGAGACAGTCCCCGGTATTTCACAAGCAGATATTACTGGTACCCCAACAGAGACAGTCCCCGGTATTTCACAAGCAGATATTACTGGTATCCCAACACAGACAGTCCCCGGTATTTCACAAGCAGATATTACTGGTTCACCAACAGAGACAGTCCCCGGTATTTCACAAGCAGATATTACTGGTACACCAACACATTTAGGCCCCGGTATTTCAAAACTAGATATTGCTTCTATACTAACACAAAAATTCCCAAATATTCCTCATTTGACAGCACAGAATTTCCCCACTATTTTTCATTTACTACCACAGAAATTCCCACACATTTCTCATTTGCCAACACAGGTATTCCCAGATATTCCTAATTTGGCAACACAGGGATTCCCCGATAATGCCCAACCAGATATTCCTTCTATGCCAACGGAGAAACCAATGCCGAAGCAACACCTTCCTACAACGTCCACTGCGTCTCCTCATCGTAAACCAGCGACTGAGGACTTTGCCACACTGAGTAAGGGGAGACTGAACCTACCAACGTTACACTACCCTCATATGCCGGGGCTGAGATACCCTACTCTACCAGCGTTGAGGTATTCTCTTCTGCCAGAGATGAAATATCCTCCTTTACCAGCGTTGCAATTCCCTACGCTGCCAGAGCCAAAATATCCTTCTTTACGACAGGTGCGATATCCTACCCTGCCAGAGTCAAAATACCCGTTTATTCCTTTACCTAAATATCCTCATATGCCTGTAAGCGGATATCCTTCCCCATTGAAATTTCTCCCCTCACCCATATCCAAATACCATGATATAAAAGATCAGTATTACGGCAGGCTACCAGCATTAGAATATCCTGGTATCATGAAGCATAATTATCCTGCACAATTCATCCATGCTCTACCGCCAATAGCATATCCAACACTAAATAGACCACATTATCCTCCCTTTGGGCCGTTGATATATCATGGTATATAAGCACCATGATATATCACAACAAGAGCCAAGCCAGAAACAGCAACATGATCTGACAACAGAATTTCCTGAATCTTCATACACACACAACCATCATCCAGGTTACACACCGCAGATGGTTCAAGTAACTCATATCCACCTAGAACTGAAATCTGTGAATATGTGTACCTCAGTGTCAATGGAGCAATATGAACAATTAGAAATAGTATCTTCTACACCAACATCAAAACAAAGTGAAAAAGTGAACTTGGAAAACTCTAAAATGTCATTAGAATATTAAAGCACGCCTTGTCAGAGAAAATTATCGCAGACTGTTGCACCGGGTCACACACAGTCCATCTCAGAGCTGTAAACATATTGACTAAAATATCAAGGAATTAAACACGACGAAATGAAGATAATATATAATTCCAGAAGATAATATATAAGTTAGGTTTGATATATGTTATGGCATGATTATTCACACATTTTCATCAATTAAATATCAAGAAATGTAGTCTGTTGAGTTTATTAATCCTTAAAATATGTAAAATAAATGGAAAAATACATATTAACAAGTACGAAAACTATAATAAAAAAGCCATTAGATGAGTCAAAGGTTAAAAAAACTCTCAATATCAATCTAATGTAAATAAACCAGAAATATAAACCTTCCCACTCTTACTACAACAATATTTATGAGAGTAAAACACCAAAGCAAGAAAGGCTGTAATATGTCTAAACCAAAAATCAGAAAATGGTAATAAAAAGACTTGTATAATATATATTGTTTGATTTTCTTAGCCTCCTATAGGTACCAAACACAGGCCTCTCTCGCTCCTCCAACATTGAAGTGTTTTGCTGTACTGGTGAAAAGTTTAGTAAAATTTCTGTAGTTCTAAATTTCGTATATTAATGTCTCCAAACACAACACAATATAAAGGAAAAATTATATAATAATGTCAATAAGTTTATAAGAGATAGTATAACATAAAATATCAGTAGGTTAAGATACGTGGTGTGTGTGTCAAGCATTACCACACCTAGACGATACCTGGCTACTTAACTTAGATAATTCGTAAGTGTCAGAATGTAAAGATATGGTTGTCCAAAGTCACAGGAGGGTGTAGAATAAATCCGAGGAATGACTTATAAGAAATGACTATGAATGAACTTCTTGGAGTGAGACGGCAGGAAAGCAAAAGGAGCATCACACACACACACACACACACACACACACACACACACACACACACACACACACACACACACACACACACACACACACACACACACACACACACACACACACACACACACACACACACACACACACACACACACACACACACACACACACACACACACACACACACACACACACACACTAGTACGTGGGTGGGTGTGTGTTTTTTTTTTACTCGTCATCTTTGTTGTTAATATTAAAACTGACCGAACTATATAAGTATAGAATAAAGCCTCAGAGTATTAGACATACGTAATGACCAACAGTAATAACTCTTTAAATAGCATACTTAAAGCAAGAGAAAGTAGAGAAAGTAGAGAAAGTAGTCTGAGGAGAATTGTGATGATGACAAAGTATATGAGGAGCACATGGCAAGAAGTTATGTATAGTTGCCAAGTTCCACCACATAACTTACAAAAACAAACATACCAACCACTTGCATTATCGTGTGTTTATAAACTCTCCATAACCTTCTTGTGTGTATAAAAAAGATGGAGCGTTCTTGCCTTTCAGTATACCTGCATAATGTCTGAATAAAAAATACCAATTTATTTTGTAATCTAGGAAACTGACACAAACTCCAGTGTTTACGTGTGACCCTCCAGACACCTAACATATTTAATTGTCTCAGTTCACTTTTGGGTTGGTGCACAAGATGTCTCACGCCCTTGACACTTACATCATATAAAACAAAGGTGTGAATATTATGAACCTTTATGTTAACCAGATCACACACCCACAATCGTCTGCCTCCTCCCGACCGTCATGGTAACCCAAGATCTTTATCCCTTATGGTAACTATAACCAACAGCTAAGCTCACCAGGTAAGTTTTAATTAAGCTCTACATTATTATCTCAGTGCCACAACATCTATACTTCTATCTCCCTAGTAATGTTATCACTACTAGAACACTTCAACGTCAGTCCGGGTAGAGAAATTAACTTTATTGATATCATATAACTGTGACTGGTAGAGAGAGTGATGTGTTTGGAGTATGAATTTATGGCTAAAACATCTACCAACTAAGTAAAGCAATTTGTAGCGATATATCTTGTGGAGGCTTGTGTACCGCAGAGACAGTATTGCTGTTGTTGTAATTCCCTCACATCTTTAGGAGTGATGGCGGTAGTAGACGATACAAATATTCCCTAAATACTCGTTCAGAATACTCAGTAAAAGCGAGTTATTTGTGTTGACCGAAATATTTGGAGAATAGTTTGGGCAGCCCAGTAAGTGATGTCATAAAGCAGAAGTACTCTAACATATGGAACTGTATGTCTCTTAATTCTTACCAGTTGCTGTTTAGTGAATGAACAGGGGCCACAGGAACACATATATAAGTAAAAGTTAAACAATAATATATAACCTGTAAATAGATAACAAATTTCACTAAAGTTATACTATCTTTTATTTTTACTACTTTTTCGCTTCCCAGCTTTCATCACACACTTAATGTTATGCTGACACACACACACAAGACAGAGTATAGTTTCTTCGGCGGGACCATCATCATCATCATCATCATCATCATCATCATCATCATCATCATCATCATTATTATTATTATTATTATTATTATTATTATTATTATTATTATTAAATATTATTATTACTAAATATGTATTATAAAATAATACATAAGTAATACAGAAAATGCATAATATGATTTTTGTTTTTTAACTCTTAGGTAAACTAAAGAAGAATAATCCCACCACATTGACGAGTTCTGCTACTCAAGTCGCCTCTGATGGAGCGACGATGGCCGGCGCCTCGGTAGGTGCTGGTAAGTAGTAAAGATCCTGTATATTGTATTCTGCTCTCAAGTGTGGATACATAAACACAGACATGTATACTACACACATACACGCACAGCTGAGCACTTAACCCACGAATTTGCTGATAACAGTCGCCAATATCACGAATACGATCTTCCTCCCCAAGAACTATAATTCCCTCTCACATTCCGATGATCCTGGTCCCCCCCCCCTTACATTTCATTCTCGCTCCACCATATACTTTCATAATGTTCTTGACTCTACGATGAATTTTGTAACCTGTTGAGTAAGGAGACTGTCTGTGTGTCTTGGTGTACAGGTGTGGAGACATTACTCGTTAACTCAGGAGAGGTGGGGGAAGGGGAGACTCTCCAAGATTTCAGTATAAGCGACAAAACGAGTCTACTCTCTTGTAAGGGTAAGATTTAACCTTTTTCTTTCCTTTAGGTTTAAGATGCTACTCATATGTGTCCTTGTATGTATTAATAAGTTTAAATTCTTCCTTTAACACTACATGATATCAACGGGATTTTAGTTTAGACTGCAAAGGAGAGTGACAAGGTCCATAAGTGACTGTAACAAAGATGATGAAAATGTATACAACCTTTTCTTTTATCTTTGAAACATACAAAAAAGGTTAGAACAGCAAAAACCATATCTATATTTATTTCAAAGGAAGTATATTCCAGCTGCATTTTAGAAGCAAACTTAAAATAAACTTTCCTCACATAATTGTTTCTAAAGATGAAAGACAAAACCATTCATAGGTGCTGGTCATTATATCCTGACATGAACTTCTGAAATATAACCCCTGTAAGTGTTGTACAGTCACTCAAAAAAACTATCTGTGACTCATGTTGTCTCAGTAGGGTTGTCAAAATCCTTCGTCCGTTGTGTCATATTTTTTCAACACAATTTTGTATGGATTATTTTTTTTGTGACTTACTTAACACCATTAAATATAAAATTATTTATAGTTCAATTAATTATGTTATCCAGTACATTGTCTTGTAGCTGGAGAAATAATGAGTTTACAATACATTAACTTACTAAACATACACATATTGTTTTTGTATACGTGTGTGTGTTTAGGTGTATGGAGTTATGTTCAATACTTTTTTTCCTTATTTATTTAATCATAAAGTAAAACAACATTAGTGTAACAGGAGGAGGAATGAGAGCAACAGTGACATAAAAGGAAACGAAACACCACGTCCTTAAGTCAGATTATATATCACAAAATTTCAAACAATAGTTATTTTCTCTCCACTATTTTTAACAGAATTAGAAAATGTATCAAATGGTTCCTTCGTAAATTCCAACAGTTTTCATAACATGTCAATTTTTTATTTCATTTACACGACAATTTTTACTTAACCTCGAGAAACTAGGATAAAAGGCAATGAAGAGTGTAATGTGGGTTTAGTTTGTTTTAAGTCAGAGCCGCGGACCACCATAGCTCAGTAGTAGGGCCCTTCACCACCATGGTAAGAAGTATAGTATAGTATATTATAATATAACCATCAAAATAAAGAAAAGAGATCTGGAGAATATATTTTGGGTATATATATTATTTTTAACGCAAGGAAGTTAATTTATAATATTTTTTTTACTTGGCGGATCCAAAATTGAAAGATTCCAAGACGATTGTGTTTATTATCTCTCAAATTTATTGAATTAAAATGACCGTCAATTTCCTACTGTTTGACTTATTGACGTTAAAAGGATGATATGAGACATGAGTGACTTGTGTGGCTCCCAGTTGATCATTAAACCTGAAGACAAACAGCCAGACATTTGTAGTGGAGAGCCATAGTCACTAGCCCTCAGACACGAGTCAACCAGATGACTTTGTTAGTTACGTTCTGTTACAATTTCGAGATGTTTTAAAATTAGAATTAGTTTATTATATTGTTGGATATAAGATGCAGTCATGGTGCTAAGTAGTGTGATAAAGTTACTATCAGTCATTCTTGTTATTTTTGCAGTTTCTGTTGATGCAGTTGGTGGCCGTCGGTGGCTTGGTGATGGCAGCTTCTGGTGCTCAAAACAACTCAGTGTTACAAGAGACAAATGAAAGAAACGTTACTTTACAAGAGACAAATGAAAGAAACGTTACTTTACAAGAGACAAATGAAAGAAACGATACTTTACAAGAGACAAATGAAAGAAATCTAACTGGTTCTCTCAATTTTCACTTTCCATCATCCTCTTTTCCTGGTGATCGACCGTTCTCCGGTTATCTTGAAAAGCTCTACAAGAATTCCTCGGCATCAGTGAAACAATATTTAGAATTACTGTCATCCAACTTTTTAAAATTAAATTCTTTGATAAACTCAAATACCTTAGAGCCCTGTGAAAAAAACATTACATTTCAAGAGTCAGATAAAAAAAATCTTACTTTGCAAGAACCAGATGTCAGGAACCTTACTTTACAGGAGCCAGATGAAAGAAGTCTTAATTTTCAAGAGCCACATGAAAGAAACCCTACTTTACAAAAGGCAAATGAAAATTATCTCCCACTTTCTATGATTTCAAGTTTATCATCACCCCATCTTCCTGGTGACCAACAGTTCTCCGGTTATATTGACAAGCTCTACAAGAACTCCACGGAATCAATGAACCGACTTTTAGAATCACTACCATCCAACATTTCAAAATTCGATTCTTTGTTAAACTCTAATACCTTCGAGTCTTTAGGCTTTTCAGAACCTTATAATATAAATATTTCAAATATTCTCGGTATCAAAGTCCCTGGAGGTTCAGAACTGCTAAATATTACCCTGACTGACCTACCTGGTAAAGTCAAACACTCTCCCATACTCTCTTATCTAGAACAATCAGTCAACAATAATTTATCATTAGTAAATATCAAGGTTTCAGGGTCACCAAAATTAGTCGCTCGGGTCTTAACTTATATGGAAAATCCAGGATCACCCAACGGAACAATAGTTGAAGAAATATTACTTAATGAGCCTAACTTAATAAATTCTTCGTTACGTGGAACAGGGAATTTCACCCCTTTACCTGTAAGCAATAGTCCAGTACATTTAGATAACAATACCACAGTAGTCCAGACGGTCACTCTTCTGTCACCGGATAATTCCAAGCCACCACTAACAAGTCGCTCACAACTGGATATTAGTTCTAGTCAAGTGAATCTTAGCCCGTTAATTAACTCTTCATTTCAAAATACAGAATAACATCAGTGAGGAGCTATCAAGAAACTTCCATAACAGTGAGCAATATTTAAAGGACTTCAATAATTTCCTAAATATGAGTAAACCTTTGATACCAGAGATTCAGGTGCCACCTCTACTGGCCATGTAACCCCAAGGACTGGGTGTTCCTGGCGTTCACTCGGTGTTTCTGATGTTCACTCGGTGTTCCTGGCGTTCACTCGGTGTTTCTGACGTTCACTCGGTGTTCCTGTCGTTCACTCGGTGTTTCTGACGTTCACTCGGTGTTTCTGACGTTCACTCGGTGTTCCTGTCGTTTACTCGGTGTTCATAACGTTTAGCTCGGTGTTCCTGACGTTCACTCGGTGTTCCTTACGTTCACGCGGTGTTCCTTACGTTCACTCGGTGTTCCTTACGTTCACTCGGTGTTCCTTACGTTCACTCGGTGTTCCTTACGTTCACTCGGTGTTCCTGACCTTCACTCGGTGTTCCTGACGTTCACTCGGTGTTCCTGTCGTTCACTCGGTGTTCCTGTCGTTCACTCGGTGTTCCTGACGTTCACGCTGGATGTAACACAAATTTTCCACATCATAAAGAATCATTAGTCAGGTTTTGAGGTTTTTTATACTGTGGCAACAACAACTTTTGACCATCATATTTATGTTTAAGAGAAGAATGGTGTTCCAAGGTCACCTCCACACACTGACTAGCCAGCAGAACAGTTAAAGATGTCAGAATTGCAAAAGATTGATCAACCAAACTCTACAAATTATTATAAACGAGAAAAAGACAAATTTAAGATTTCACACAACTTAGAAGATAACTTTTTGTTATGATGTTTTACCCCGGCATCGAATGTCTCATATTTGACAGATATATATGTTAATAATACCTTGATTATACCAATAACAATGATAAATATATATATATATATATATATATATATATACTCTACAGTCACTCAAAAAACTATCTGTACTGAGGGTGATCGACGAATTTCAGAATGAACACTGCGATTCCTGTTATCCCGATGGGGTTGTCAAAATCCTTCGTCTGTTGTATCATATTTTTTCAACACAATTTTACATAGAAAGTTCTTTGACTGACTCTACATGTATATTTGTAATATTTTTTTCTAGTGTATGTACTTAGTTAGGATACGTGGTTCAAAACTTGTGTAGTTGAACCGCAGTAATGCATTATACTATAGGGAGCAACATCCTATATGAGAATTAGTCTCCAAACATTACAATAGCAGACGCAAGTAAAAAAATAAATAAATTATATATAGAAATTAAGTGTTAATGATCCTGTTATATGTTGAAGGTGAGGTGATGTAGCCACTGATAGAGACACAAGATAACCAGATAATTACACGCTTTATTATTGTATTTTAATAACTGTTGAGAGACAGTGTAATGTTTATCTAGATTATTATCAGTTACCACTAATAAGCTGGTGAGTCAACAGTGTGTTTTATTACCAACCCTTTATTGTGTTTAGTCATATATTTTTGTTTCAATGTTTACATGGTGACCGACTGTGCTAAGATAGTTCGATGAGTTCTTTGAGGTCCTTAGGTGAGGAACGAGACGCCAGTATGCTGCAACAACGAATCTCTCTCTCTCTCTCTCTCTCTCTCTCTCTCTCTCTCTCTCTCTCTCTCTGGGGTTACTAAAGCTTGTTGCTGCCACCACCTCTCGTATTTCTGGGTGAGGTAGCCAGGTCAGAAGGTGGAGATACAAATATATATATAACTTACAATAGATGTGGATAATCTCCCAATTAAACCTAAAAACCTTATAAAAAATATGGATTCAATCACCTCATAATTTTAAAGCTCCAAATACTATGAGTTTTATTTTTATTTTGTAATTTATTTCCTCAGTTAAATAGTAAATACAAAATAGCTTCTTCCATTTCACGTTACAGTATACATCAAAGAGCAAGATACACAATTCGTCATTGATACATTCTTTTTATTGTATACATAAATAAATCTTTACCGACTCGTCAAGGTTTTTATATTCGTGTTTAAACAATGTTAACAATGTTGAGGCGAGAGACTGCAGCTCTTACATCACCTCTTGAATGAGACTTGTTCCTTACACAACACTGACGGTCGTTGTCCACTACAGCTAATACACCATACACTCACTATAACTACAGTTAATGCATCATACACTCACTATAACTACAATCAATACATCATACACTCACTATAACTACAGTCAATACATCATACACTCACTATAACTACAGTCAATACATCATACACTCACTATAACTACAGTCAATACATCATACACTCACTATAACTACAGTCAATACATCATACACTCACTATAACTACAGTTAATACATCATACACTCACTATAACTACAGTCAATACATCATACACTCACTATAACTACAGTTAATGCATCATACACTCACTATAACTACAGTTAATACATCATACACTCACTATAACTACAGTCAATACATCATACACTCATTATAACTACAGTTAATGCATCATACACTCACTATAACTACAGTCAATACATCATACACTCACTATAACTACAGTCAATACATCATACACTCACTATAACTACAGTCAATACATCATACACTCACTATAACTACAGTCAATACATCATACACTCACTATAACTACAGTCAATACATCATACACTCACTATAACTACAGTCAATACATCATACACTCACTATAACTACAGTCAATACATCATACACTCACTATAACTACAGTCAATACATCATACACTCACTATAACTACAGTTAATACATCATACACTCACTATAACTACAGTCAATACATCATACACCATAGATAGAAAATGTTCCTCAGACGCTGAAAATGAATTAGTGTATAAATGTATAACCTGAATTTCTATTGTATATTTTGGCCTAAATTTCAACCCCACTTAAAATAAATATTGAACATAATGAAAAATGAAAATAATCATCTATTAAGCAAAAGCATATACAATTATCTTCACTATACGAGAGATAAAACAGAAAGATATGGATGAGAGATTTAATGAAAAAATGAAGAGATAAAAACTTTGTCTTGTGTACATCAAGGTCGAGTGAAGTAGCCTGTCTTCGATCGTTCAGCTGCCAACATCCAGTTATTATTCTTCATTCAGTGAGTCTTCTATAGCCTTCTTTCATGACGATAGAAGATATAATTCTGTAAAAAAAAATTTGAAAAGTTAACATAGAGGAGATGACTCGCCTCATAGAAGATTACACTCATGACAGCTAGCTGGCCCCAATAGCTCCCCACATACTGGCAGTAACACCTCGTCTATTTTGCCAGAGAACACACGCAAGGAGTAAGTGCAAGGAAGATGTAACTGCAATGAAGAGAAGACAGACAATGTGGCAGAACGGGACACTGGACGATCTCCTAAGTAAGGCAAGAACATTGCAGCAGAGACTAAAATTTACAGGAGACGGAAAGCAAGTCACAAGGAATGCTGCCAGAAAGGTTGGTAACAAGATGAGCATGAGAAAAGTGTCCTTGGTGGTAAGATCTCTGTCACAGGAATCCTCCGGTGGTGTGATAAACAGAGAGATATTACAACAACTGAAGGAAAAACATCCCCCAGCAAGTACAGAGGAGGGCATCAGGTTCCCGGGTTCCAAACGCTGGCCCTTCAGGCCTGGATGCAGACGGGTGGAGAAGCATCCTCAGCACTAACAAATTTGGTGATGCTGCAAGTGATCTCTGCAATGCTACCGCCGCCCTTGCAAGAAAGCTAGCAATCTTATGCTGCCAACACCTACAAGCTCTGACAACCTGCCGCCTCATCCTCCTGAATAAAAACCCAGGATGTTGGCCTATAGGGGTGGGAGAAGTGCTGAGACGGATCATTGCAAAATGTATAATGGAGTTGGTAAATGATGATGTCAGGGCAGCTGCTGGGAACCTGCAGGTATGTGCTGGCCACCAGGCTGGAGGTGAAGCTGCCATTCACGCGATGAGAAAGATATTTGAGCAGCTTAATCGTGAGGCTGTGCTCCTGGTTGACGCTTCCAATGCATTCAATATAATCAACCACAAGGCTACACTGCACAAATCAAGATCAAGTGTTCAAGCTTTGTAGTGTATGTTGAAAACACCTATAGGAACCCATCAGACCTCTTTATAACGAGCTTCAAGCCCTAAGAGAAAATACCACCCTACAGTCAACCGAGAAAACTGCGCAGGGGGATCCGGTCGCCATGGCAATATAAGCAATAGGTCTATCATGCTCCAACACACAATAAACTATGAAACAACCAATGTCAAGCAAGTGGCTTAAGGTCGCTTTTACCCCAACGCTAGTGAAATCTCCTTATTTAACCCCAGCAGAAAAGTCACTCCTTGCACTACCACCGAGACTGGGAGGAATGGGATTGACTAATCCATAGGAGCCCTCACTGAGCGCATAATAGCACAGCATGCAGTAAGTCAGGTGTTAAATCTGAGTGGGGTCGTGTAACCAGAGGGGTTCCCCAGGGGTCAGTACTAGGCCCACTTTTGTTCATAATCTACATAAACGATCTAGATACTGGGATCAGCAGTGACATAAGCAAGTTTGAGGATGACACCAAAATAGGGCGGCAGATTAATTCAGGGCAGGATGCAAATGCATTACAGGAGGATCTAAATAAACTGCAGGGGTGGTCTGGAAAATGGCAAATGAAATTCAACACCAGCAAGTGCAGCGTACTTAATATTGGAAGAACAAATACTGTCAATGTATACAGCCTTAACAACATCAACCTAGAGAAGTCGACTTGTGAAAGAGACCTAGGGGTACTTGTAAGCCCGGACCTACGGCCTAGAAAACAGTGCGTTAATGTTCGAAATAAGGCAAACAGAGTATTGGGTTTTATATCTAGAAGTGTAAGTAATAAGAGTGCAGAGGTCTTATTGCAACTATATCTTGCGCTAGTCAGGCCGCACCTCGATTATGCGGTTCAGTTCTGGTGCCCTTATTATAGAATGGATATCAATTCACTAGAGTCGGTGCAGCGAAGAATGACGAAAATGATTCCGGGACTTAGAAACCTTCCATATCAGGATAGTTTAAAGAAACTAAACTTGCATTCCCTAGAAAGACAAAGAGTGCGGGGAGATATGATAGAAGTATTTAAGTGGGTGACAGGAATCAATAAAGGTGATATAGATAAAGTTCTTATAATATCCGAGCAGGATAGGACTCGGAACAACGGATTCAAGTTGGATAAGTTTAGGTTTAGGAGGGAGATAGGAAGGAACTGGTTTACAAATAGGGTGGTGGACGAGTGGAACAAGCTTAGCAACCTTATAGTAAGTGCTGGAACGCTGGAAAGTTTCAAAGGGAGGCTGGATAGATTCATGGATGATAGAGAGTGGTAGTAACTCTCGACAGGAGCTGCCATGCACAGGCCAACCGGCCTATTGCAGACTCCTTATTTTCTTATGTTCTTATGTTCAATGAATTAAACAAGATTCGGCAGTCCATTACGACAGAACGGCATCACACCCAAAATGATGAGCATCAACAACTGATGTTGCAATTGTCAGTGAACTTGGAGAAAAAAGTAGCACTAGCGCAGGAGGTGGGCGTCATGAACTGGCTAACAATGTTACCGGTAAGGGCAAAAGGTTTCAACCTTAATAAACAAGAATTTACAGATGCCATTGCTCTAAGGTACGGGAGGCCAGTAGAAGGTGTGGCTCATCCTACGACATCGGTTACGCCATGGTGTGCAAGAAAGGGGGTTTCGTATGCATGAGGCATGACGAAGTAAGGGATCTCACAACAAATATGTTGAAGGTAATCTGCCATGATGCCAAGGTACAACCGACCCCCCTTCCATTGGACGGTGAGAATTTCCATCACAGGACTTCAAACACATTCAACGAAGACCGTGTGGACGTCAGTGCTTGAGGATTTGGGACGTGGGGACGACGAGCCTTTTCTGACATAAGGATTTTCGACGCCATGGCCGCATGTCACCGTAACTTAGCTCTCGATGCTGCACACAGGAGGAACGAGAATGACAAGATAAGGGCATACGGGGAGAGAATTCAGAATGTTGATCAAGGCAGCTTCACTCCTCTGGTGTTCACAAGCCTGGTGGGATGGGACCAAGTGCAGGATGCTTCTATGCAAGACTCGCAGAAGTGTTATCCGAACAGAAGCAGCAGCCCAGAAACTACGTTACAGCCTACATGGTTGAGATGTCGACTGTCCTTCTTTCTGCTTAGGTCTGTATTGCTTTGCCTCCGGGGAACGAGATCTTCAGCCCCAAAGCCGACAACGGTCACAGATATTGACTATGAGGCAACAGTCACTGAATGCCGCATAGATCTGCAGCTCAACTAACTCAACACAGCTAGGGTAGCTACTTTTGTATTAGGATACTTAATTTTAAGGTAATATACAGTAATGGCGGCGAAGGTGTGGTTATTGGGGGAGGCTGGAGGCCATGTTAAAAAAAGTAGAAGTAGTAGTAGTAGTTGTAGTAGAAGTAGAAGTAGCAGTAGTAGTAAAATTAAAATCACAAAATTCAAACTGGACATTATTTTATACACCTTGCACTGTCACTCATTATTCGTCAACATCAGCTTGGGAATAAATAAATAATTGACTTACTTCCCTAATTATATACCACAATTATTCTATTACGAATTAATGTTTATTTCTTTTTATTCACCTCATTAGCTCACTGTAATTACAAACTAGAATATAATTAACCTTTCAACTAGCTGGTACTGATGAGCGGTAGAACACGATAATCATATCTACCAGTGTCAGTAGAACCAGTGCCAGTAGAACCAGTGTCAGTAGAACCAGTGTCAGTTGAACCAGTGCCAGTAGAACCAGTGCCAGTAGAACCAGTGTCAGTTGAACCAGTGCCAGTAGAACCAGTGTCAGTAGAACCAGTGTCAGTTGAACCAGTGCCAGTAGAACCAGTGCCAATAGAACCAGTGTCAGTAGAACCAGTGCCAATAGAACCAGTGCCAGTAGAACCAGTGCCAATAAAACCAGTGCCAGTTGAACCAGTGTCAGTTGAACCAGTGTCAGTTGAACCAGTGTCAGTTGAACCAGTGCCAGTAGAACCAGTGCCAGTAGAACCAGTGCCAGTTGAACCAGTGTCAGTTGAACCAGTGTCAGTTGAACCAGTGACAGTAAAACAAGTGTCAGTTGAACCAGTGTCAGCTGAACCAGTGTCAGCTGAACCAGTGTCAGTTGAATCAGTGACAGTAGAACCAGTGTCAATTGAACCAGTGTCACCTGAACCAGTGCCAATAGAACCAGTGTCAGTAAAACCAATGGCAGTAGAACCTTTCCCGCCGGAAACTGTTCCAGGAGAAATATAGCCAGTTATAGAATCCCTATCAGATTCTGTCCCATCAGAACCAGAGCCTATAGAACGTGTCCCATCAGAACCAGAGCCAATAGAACCAGTCCCATCAGAACCAGAGCCTATAGAACCTGTCCCATCAGAACCAGAGCCTATAGAACCTGTCCCATCAGAACCAGAGCCAATAGATCCAGTCCCATCAGAACCAGAGCCTATAGAACCTGTCCCATCAGAACCAGAGCCAATAGAACCTGTCCCATCAGAACCAGAGCCAGAACCTAGAAGAAGAGCCAATAGAACCTGTCCCATCAGAAGAAGGCCAATAGAACCTGTCCCATCAGAACCAGAGCCAATTGAACCTGTCCCATCAAAACTAGAGCCAATAGAACCTGTCCCATCAGAACCAGAGCCAATAGAACCTGTCCCATCAGAACCAGAGCCAATAGAACCTGTCCCATCAGAACGAGAGTCAATAGAACCTGTCCCATCAGAACCAGACCAATAGAACCTTCACATTAGAACCAGAGCCAATAGTCCCATCAGAACCAGAGCCACATCCCAGAACGAGAGTCAATAGAACCTGTCCCATCAGAACCAGAGCCAATAGAACCTGTCCAATCAGAACGAGAGTCAATAGGACCTGTCCCATCAGAACCAGAACCAATAGAACCTGTCCCATCAGAACCAGAGCCAATAGAACCTGTCCCATCAGAACCAGAGCCAATAGAACCTGTTCCATCAGAACCAGAGCCAATAGAACCTGTCCCATCAGAACCAGAGCCAATAGAACCTGTCCCATCAGAACCAGAGCCAATAGAACCTGTCCCATCAGAACCAGAGCCAATAGAATTTGTCCCATCAGAACCAGAGCCAATAGAACCTGTCCCATCAGAACCAGAGCCAATAGAACCTGTCCCATCAGAACCAGAGCCAATAGAACCTGTCCCATCAGAACCAGAGGCAGTAGAACCTGTCCCATGAGAACCAGAGCCAATAGAACCTGTCCCATCAGAACCAGAGCCAAGAACCAGTCCCATCAGAATCAAGAGCCTATAGAACCTGTCTCATCAGAACCAGAGCCTATAGAACCTGCCCCATCAGAACCAGGTCCTATACCCAATCCCATAACCAGACCAATAGAACCTGTCCCATCAGAACCAGAGCTGAACCTGTCCCATCAGAAGAAGACCAATAGAACCTGTCCCATTAGAACCAAAGTCAGTAGAACCTGTCCCATCAGAACCAGAGCCTATAGAACCTGTCCCATCAGATTCAGAGCCCATAGAACGTGTCCCATCAGAACCAGAACCAATAGAACCTGTCCCATCAGAACCAGGAGCCAATTGAACCTGTCCCATCAGAACCAGAGCCAATAGAACCTGTCCCATCAGAACCAGAGCCAATAGAACCTGTCCCATCAGAACCAGAGGCAGTAGAACCTGTCCCATGAGAACCAGAGCCAATAGAACCTGTCCCATCAGAACCAGAGCCAAGAGAACCAGTCCCATCAGAATCCAGAGCCTATAGAGACCTGTCTCATCAGAACCAGAGCCTATAGAACCTGCCCCATCAGAACCAGGTCCTATAAGACCAATCCCATCAGAACCAGAGCCAATGTCCCATCAGAACCAGGCCAATAACCTGTTCCATCAGGATCAGAACCAGAGCCAATAGAACCTGTCTCATCATCAGAACCAGAGCCAATAGAACCTGTCCCATCAGAACCAGAGGAACCTGTAGAGCCATCAGAACCAGAGCCAATAGAACCTGTCCCATCAGAACCAGAGCCAATAGAACATCAGCCCCAGAACCAATAGAACCTAGAACCTGTCCCATCAGAACCAGAGCCAATAGAACCTGTCCCATCAGAACCAGAGCCAATAGAACCTGTCCCATCAGAACCAGAGCCAATAGAACCTTGTATAGAACCTGTCCCATCAGAACCAGAGCCAATAGAACCTGTCCCATCAGAACCAGAGCCAATAGTTTCAGGGCTTGGATTATTATATAGACCCGTATTTGGGAACTGAGCTCTTGGGATATATACATAACCATAAATAGGGTAAGGGAGTCTTGGAAAGTTACGCTCAGGTACCATCATAGATTCACTGTAGGTTAATTTCGGTATTATTGGATGTGGCCTAATTGCAGGTATTTTGTTTTCAGGTAATTCTGGGTATTTCCAACTTGGAACATTATAGAAATTTAGATTGGAAAATGAGGGATATTTAAGACTGAACATATCTGGGTATTTAATAGTTGGAAATTCTGGATAATTCGGGGCAGGGAGTGTGGGAAACTGGGTCCCAGGTAACTTGAGATAGTTAGGATCAGGGATATTAGGCAATTCCGTGTCCGGTAATTTAGGATATTCGGGATCTGAAATTTTTGAAATCGTTGCTTCACTTATTTTTGGGAATTCCGGACTTGGAAAAGTAGGAATGTTCAAATCTGGCAATTCCGGATATTTGGGAACAGGAATTCCTGGAATATTTGCTTTGGGTAATTCTGGATATGTTGGAACTGGAATTTTTGGAATCGTTGCTTCACTAACTTTTGGGAATTCGGGGCTTGGAATAGTAGGAATATTCACATCTGGCAATTCCGGATAATTGGGAACAGGAATTCCTGGAATATTTGCTTTGGGTAATTCTGGATATGTTGGAACAGGAATTTTTGGAATCGTTGCTTCACTCATTTTGGGGAATTCGGGACTTGGAATAGTAGGAATATTCACATCTGGCAATTCCGGATATTTGGGAACAGGAATTCCTGGAATATTTGCTTTGGGTAATTCTGGATATGTTGGAACAGGAATTTTTGGAATCTTTGCTTCACTCATTTTGGGGAATTCGGGACTTGGAATAGTAGGAATATTCACATCTGGGAATTCCGGATATTTGGGAACAGGAATTCCTGGAATATTTGCTTTGGGTAATTCTGGATATGTTGGAACAGGAATTTTTGGAATCGTTGCTTCACTCATTTTGGGGAATTCGGGACTTGGAATAGTAGGAATATTCACATCTGGGAATTCCGGATATTTGGGAACAGGAATTCCTGGAATATTTGCTTTGGGTAATTCTGGATATGTTGGAACAGGAATTTTTGGAATCGTTGCTTCACTCATTTTGGGGAATTCGGGACTTGGAATAGTAGGAATATTCACATCTGGGAATTCCGGATATTTGGGAACAGGAATTCCTGGAATATTTGCTTTGGGTAATTCTGGATATGTTGGAACAGGAATTTTTGGAATCGTTGCTTCACTCATTTTGGGGAATTCGGGACTTGGAATAGTAGGAATATTCACATCTGGGAATTCCGGATATTTGGGAACAGGAATTCCTGGAATATTTGCTTTGGGTAATTCTGGATATGTTGGAACAGGAATTTTTGGAATCTTTGCTCTACTCATTTTGGGGAATTCAGGACTTGGAATAGTAGGAATATTCACATCTGGCAATTCCGGATATTTGGGAACAGGAATTCCTGGAATATTTGCTTTGGGTAATTCTGGATATGTGGGAACAGGAATTTTTGGAATCGTTGCTTCACTCATTTTGGGGAATTCGGGACTTGGAAGAGTAGGAATATTCACATCTGGGAATTCCGGATATTTGGGAACAGGAATTCCTGGAATATTTGCTTTGGGTAATTCTGGATATGTTGGAACAGGAATTTTTGGAATCTGTGCTCTACTCATTTTGGGGAATTCAGGACTTGGAATAGTAGGAATATTCACATCTGGCAATTCCGGATATTTGGGAACAGGAATTCCTGGAATATTTGCTTTGGGTAATTCTGGATATGTTGGAACAGGAATTTTTGGAATCGTTGCTTCACTCATTTTGGGGAATTCGGGACTTGGAATAGTAGGAATATTCACATCTGGGAATTCCGGATATTTGGGAACAGGAATTCCTGGAATATTTGCTTTGGGTAATTCTGGATATGTTGGAACAGGAATTTTTGGAATCGTTGCTTCACTCATTTTGGGGAATTCGGACTTGGAATAGTAGGAATATTCACATCTGGCAATTCCGGATATTTGGGAACAGGAATTCCTGGAATATTTGCTTTGGGTAATTCTGGATATGTTGGAACAGGAATTTTTGGAATCGTTGCTTCACTCATTTTGGGGAATTCAGGACTTGGAATAGTAGGAATATTCACATCTGGCAATTCCGGATATTTGGGAACAGGAATTCCTGGAATATTTGCTTTGGGTAATTCTGGATATGTTGGAACAGGAATTTTTGGAATCGTTGCTTCACTCATTTTGGGGAATTCAGGACTTGGAATAGTAGGAATATTCACATCTGGAAATTCCGGATATTTGGGAACAGGAATTCCTGGAATATTTGCTTTGGGTAATTCTGGATATGTTGGAACAGGAATTTTTGGAATCGTTGCTTCACTCATTTTGGGGAATTCGGGACTTGGAATAGTAGGAATATTCACATCTGGGAATTCCGGATATTTGGGAACAGGAATTCCTGGAATATTTGCTTTGGGTAATTCTGGATATGTTGGAACAGGAATTTTTGGAATATTTGCTCTAATCATTTTGGGAATTCAGGACTTGGAATAGTAGGAATATTCACATCTGGCAATTATTTGGGAATAGGAATTCCTGGAATATTTGCTTTAATTCTGGATATGTTGAACAGGAATTTTTGGAATCTCGGACTTGGCCTGGAATTCATATTTGGGAACAGGAATTCCTGGAATATTTGTATTTCTGGATATGTTGAACAGGAATTTTTGGAATCTTTGCTCTACTCATTTTGGGGAATTCAGGACTTGGAATAGTAGGAATATTCACATCTGGCAATTCCGGATATTTGGGAACAGGAATTCCTGGAATATTTGCTTTGGGTAATTCTGGATATGTTGGAACAGGAATTTTTGGAATCGTTGCTTCACTCATTTTGGGGAATTCGGGACTTGGAATAGTAGGAATATTCACATCTGGCAATTCCGGATATTTGGGAACAGGAATTCCTGGAATATTTGCTTTGGGTAATTCTGGATATGTTGGAACAGGAATTTTTGGAATCGTTGCTTCACTCATTTTGAGGAATTCGGGACTTGGAATAGTAGGAATATTCACATCTGGTAATTGCGGATATTTGGGAATAGGAATTCCTGGAATATTTGCTTTGGGTAATTCTCGATATGTTGGAACAGGAATTTTTGGAATCTTTGCTCTACTCATTTTGGGGAATTCGTGACTTGGAATAGTAGGAATATTCACATCTGGCAATTCCGGATATTTGGAAACAGGAATTCCTGGAATATTTGCTTTGGGTAATTCTGGATTTGTTGGAACAGGAATTTTTGGAATCTTTGCTCTACTCATTTTGGGGAATTCGTGACTTGGAATAGTAGGAATATTCACATCTGGCAATTCCGGATATTTGGGAATAGGAATTCCTGTAATATTTGGTTTGCCTAATTCTCGATATGTTGGAACAGGAATTTTTGGAATCGTTGCTTCACTCATTTTCGGGAATTTACGGTAATTGACGCCTGGTAATTCTGGGTGTTTAGAAGTTCCTGGAGCTGGTAACTGAGTGCCCGTTATCTCAGAGGATGTGGGGTCAGTAAATGATGGCATTTCTCCTTCCGGTATTTGCGGGTAACCGGTCTCTAGTGAGGATGGTTTTAGTAGGTCCGGATATGTGTTGCTGATGCCGTCGGGTAAGGAGGGATATTTGTTACCATTTGGCATTGATTCCGTCGTCTCAGAGTCACCACCGTCGCCTTGAGTCTGTGTGTTGGCGGCAGCAGCAAGAGTCAATACTGCCGCCAAAACCACCGCCCCCACGATGTGGTTCTGGAAAAGAAAACTAATTAGTAGAGTGTTCTCTGATCTGAGTTTAATATGACCATCTCACTCACCTTCGTTCTACCTCATGCAGCTTGTCTTCACTCATTATGTCATGTTGTACACCGTCCCTCCTTCCTTCTCACACCTCCATACATCGTGCGAGGCACATGCGAGATGGAATTACCAAGTGATTTGTTTCTTTTAAGATTATTTTCAAGCTTGGTCGTGCGATCTCTAAGGCATATTTTGAGTTACGAAGCAAAAACTTTTACACAACTTTGAGAAAAATTTTTTGTCTCATGCCTTCACAAAAGGAGAAGCAGTGGATACTGAATTTGTTGGCTCTCATTGTCAATATTGTCACTGTCACGCAATACCTTTAAACTTGAAACCATTCTTTATTTTACCTAAACGTCAAACATAATATTCATCACCGTTTAGTTTGCTGGTGAGGTATACATAGGGTTTTCTGAATGGATATTTCACCACTTTGGACTAGGTGGGTGGTAACCTATGTCTACATATAGACAGTAAATATTATACAAATTCAGACTATTTACATATTGTGTTTATATACAACACACTACCCGGATTCACCAACACAGAGGCAGAGGTCCATATATCGTCATATCCTGTTATGTTCGACACAGGAATTCATAGCCCTAACTCAGCCTTTCCTGTCAAGCAGGAAATGACATTCGGATCACCTCTATGGTACAGTAAAACCTATAGCGTAGGCATTTAACTCACTGCCGAGAGATGCAGATGAAGACTAGGCAACACACCTGACAAATGAGTGACTGGCAGCTCTAGCTGTGAGTCTGCTATATATCATCCTGTAGCTCTGTGTTGGTTAATCCGTAAATAAACCAACAACAACAGCTAAGTGTACTAACTTTTTTAGTCCTTTGGTGGAGGAAATGGATAGTAACATAGGCAAGGACAAGGCTGACAAGGAAGGCACGAAAACCTTAATTGTTGGAGATTCTCAGGTAAAGTACACAGATAGAGCTTTCAGTGCCAAAAACAAAAATAGGATGAGGGTGTGTTTGCCAGGAGCTGGGGTGGGGGATGTAGCTGACAGGATGGACAATATCTTGTCTGGTAATGGGCACAAACCCATTATCTGCATCAGTGCAGGAGGCAATGATATTGGCCGGTGTAGGAGTGAGGAGCTCCTTGATAAGTTCAAGAGAGCTATTAACCGGATTAGGGTGAAGGGAGGGATCCCTATCATATGTGGGGTCCTGCCTAGAAGGAGAGTTGGCAATGAATGGCTGTCAAGGGCAGTTGGTGTCAATGGCCATCTTAACAGATATTGCAAGTCAATGTCAGTTCCTTTCATTGGCAACTGGGTCAACTTCTACGGCAAAATATGTCGAAGTCTTTAAACTGCTAGGGTAAGACATGAGCACGTGGGTTAAGGAGACTGTAGTGGGAGCGAGTAAACAAAACGAAAAGATACAGAGAAATCGTGCTGGGGATGACGATAAAGGTCAATTAGGCAGAGAGTTAAAACCTAAATGTGACCGTGAGAGGACTCAAATCACGACTAACGTAAATGTCTGCTATACAAACAGTTGGAGTATGAGAAATAAAATGGACGAAAGCAGGGCGTTGGTATGTACCGAAAAAATCAATATAATAGCATTCACTGAAACAAGGATAAACTAAGACTCACAGGAGTCACTGCCGAATACCAAATTGCAGGTTACAAATTATTCCATACCGATAGACAGATTAGGAAAGGAGGCGGAGTAGCAATCTGTGTCTAGTATAACCTGAAGTGTGAAATCAATAAGGAAATAAAAACTGAACTGAATACAGAAATAGTATGGATAAAATTAACAGATGGGAGGGAAAAATTACTTATAGGAGTAATTTATAGACCTACTAATCTCGTTGGGGTTAATGAGCGACTTATTTGGGATGAAATACACAGAGCTTCCAGACATTGGAAAGTCTGTGTGATAGGCGACTTTAACTTTAGTCAAATAAACCGGACCGACCTTAGGGTAACTCAGAATCAGAGGATTTTCTTGTAACAGTTCAAGATCGATCACTATCCTCTGACTACCGTTCAATCAGTTTAACATCAATTATAGGCAAATTACCTGAAGCAATAATTTCAAAATCAATTTGGAATCACCTCGAGAAACACAAACAGAAAAATGGTTTCCAGTATGGCTTCACATGTGTGCGTTCATGTCTGACAAATCTAGTAACATTCTTTTCTACTGTTTTCGAATCAGTAGATGACGAACACGATTATGATTTGGCTTACCTCGACCTTAGCAAAGCCTTCGACAGGGTCACCCATGAAAGACTAATACGTAAAGTTGAGACACAAGGAATTGTAGATGTTCTAAACTGGATAAGGACACGTTTACAGGCCAGGAAACAGAGAGTCAGCATTAATGGCACCAAATCCGACTTGGGTAACGGCACTAGTGGAGTACCCCAAGGCTTATTACTTGGACCATTATATACATAAACGACATAGATATAGGTGGACACAGCAACATAATTAAATCTACTTATGTGTCATCAGAAAATTTACATATGTTGCTGTCTGCGCCCATATCTATGTCGTCTATGTATAGGGCGTGTAATTAAATCTGACGAGGACTCCGCAAAACTACAGGGAGATCTAAAAAAAATTTTTTACATGGTCTGAAAAATGGCAGATGAAATTTAATGTGGACAAATGTAAAGTCCTTAGTCTAGAAGACGTAAACAGAGAAACCTGATATCAAATGAACAACGCTGATATAAAGAAATCGGATTGTGAGAAAGATTTAGGGGTAATGATAAATAAGAATCTTAAACCAAGACAACAACGCGTATTTGCTCGAAACAAAGCTAGCAAAGTACTTGGGTCCATACTAAGGCGTGTTAGTTACAAGACTAGCGAGGGTATCCTAAAGCTATATCTTGCGCTTGTGAGACCTCACTTGGATTAAGCAGTTCAGTTCTGGTCACCGTACTACAGAATAGATATCGAATTTCTAGAAATCATACAGAGGAGGATGACAAGACTAAACCCGGGCATTAGGAACCTTGAGTACAGAGACTGATTACTCCATCAGAATTTGCACTCCCTCGAGAGACGTAGAGTGAGGGGCGATATGATCGAGGTGTATAAATTGAAGTCAGGGCTGAACAAAGGTGATATAACAAAGTTACTTAAACTATCCAACCAGGAGCGAACTCGTAACAATGGTTTTAAATCAGACAAATTTAGAATTAGGCGCGAGATAGGTAAACATTGGTTTGGAAATAGAGTAGTGGACGAGTGGAGCAAGTTACCAAACATCATCATTAACTCAAACACGCTTGATAGCTTCAAATATAGGTTGGACGGATATATGATCGATAAGGGTTCGGTGTAAACGGGACAGCCCAGTTTGGGCCAATTGGCCCGCAGATGTTCCCTCCATTCTTATGTTCTTATGTTCTTAGATTGAGATACGCTCTTAACATATGTTTTACAATAAATGAAAATTGTGCCCGATGTTTGCTTTGAACATTAACACTGAGATAAACTTCAGACATAGTACACGTTACTCCTAGTGAAATTAACAAGAAATAATACCTACAGCCAATATAACCAAGAGTGTGACAGTGGTGAAGATTTCATACTAATATAATTCTGCACCAGAAGGTCACATTGATAACCAATTATCCTATCCCGGAACATTGAGGTGGCAGTTATAAGTGAATTCGAACATACTAGAGACCAGAACAATTAGCAATTAACAGTAATTGTTAAAAAAAAATTACGTAAAAGCACTATTAAGTGGATTAACATAGATGTAATACGAGAAGCAATAAAGTACAGACGACTTCCATTAGCCATATATAAAAGTGCAAGTGGGTAAATATAAAACAGTAGCAAACTTATTTGACGTAAAATAATAAGGTTATCGCTTAATACAATGTGTCAACACTCCCAACACACCCAGTGACCGTCGAGGCAGTGGGTAGAACATATCTCAGCAAAATCTCCCTTGACCGGTGTTGACAAACACATAAGCATCAGGTTAGCATTCCTATGCTCGGCGCTCCGACCAAGCAAGCGGACCCTGAAACCAGACCTAGTATGTGACCCAGCACACCCGGGTTACACCCAGCTCAAATGTGCATCAGCTGACCTCTCAGTTGAACGGAGTTGACCGAACTCACAAGCAGTGTATATGTGTGTATACTTGTGACATATACACCATCACCTCCCTGATAAGCAGCTGCAGCGGCGGCGGTGACGGCGGCGGCGGCTGCGGTAGCAGCAGCAGCAGCAGCAGTAATATTTACGTCATCTATTAACATAGTGGCCGTGATCCAAAGAGAGGACCAGCTGATTGGACAACAGATGTAAACATGGCGATAAATTTCCGGTGAAACAGGCCAACAGTTAGACATTACCTTTATGCTTTTCTGCAACTAGTGAAACATTTTTATTAAACTTACTAGCGTAATCGCCGCCCTCCGGGCGGCTCTTTCGCTAGGCCACGGTAGGACGCCACCTTCCGGGAGGCTCCACATTGTCTCACTGTAGCGCATTAAGGTAGACCACATTTTTGGTTTTGCCATTATCAGCAAGTATGTACAGATTTTTGCCAGTTCCTACTCTGGAGCATCCAACATAGAACTGTCCACGAGAGAAGCAAGGAAACACCAGGTTTAGGCCAACCATCTTTAGGGACTGTCCCTGGCTTTTGTAGATGGTCATGGCAAAGCTCACTTTAACCGGGAACTGAAGTCGCTTGAACTCAAATGGCAGGTCAGTGGTGATGAGAGGTATCCTTGGTATAAAAACGTCCTCTCCTTTACCTTTTCCTGTCAGTATTGTAGCTTCCAGTACATGTGGCATCATGTTCTTCTTGTGAGCGACTCGTCTCTCATTTTGAGTATGATCTCTCGTTTCTCAAACTCTTGACCGACAATCAGGATGGCTACTTCATCAACTACAGGAGCATTAAATCTTCTTTCAAATTCTCCCTTAGGGGTCGTGTCTGCTTTGATCCTGACTTTGTACTCGTCAGAAGGCATGTTTTTCAGGGCATTTTTAAATGACTGTACATATGTGTTGCGCTCATGCAGCATTTCTTGGATAGATAGGACAATGTCATGTCTGACACCTTGAATATTGCCACACCTGATAGTAGTCTGGTTTTCATGATCTCTCATGAAGTAAATTTGGAGGAACTTTGCCTGCTCATCTTCCAGTGGTAAGAGGGATCCTGCTTTGTGATAGACTTGACCTTGGACCTTGAATGTGGGCATGTATCCGTGCTCACGAACTACTCTGGTAGCTCCAAAGGATGTCATCTGGAAGCATGAATTGTACTTCAGTATATTTTCCAAGAAGTGTTTTGACTCTGGTGTTGCTCCCAGCATGAGAGTCTTCAATGGTTGTGGTGGTGTTTCCAAATTTGGCAGTCGTACTTTCCCTTGAGAGCAGCACAGTCCAGCAGATTCTCCATTATACTTCTTTGCACCTCAGTGTTCACATTTCTTATCCATGTTGCCAATGACAACAGAGGGATACTTTTCATATTCTATCTCATTGTCATAGTTAAATGCTGCTCTTGCAAGTGGATGCCACTGTGTATTCCTTATTAGACTTCTGGATCCCGCAGCTCTCTGTCTATTAGCATTCAAACGAATTTCATGCACTTGATCATTTTCTAGGGAACGCCTTTCTGCTGTTTGCTATCTGTCAGCATTAAGACAGGATTCCCTTTCCTGATCTGTTTCCTGTGACCGACTGTCCGCTGTTCGCTCTCTCTGAGCATTAAGACGGCATTCCCTTTCCTGATCTGTTCCCTGTGACCGACTGTCCGCTGTTCGCTCTCTCTGAGCATTAAGACGGCATTCCCTTTCCTGATCTGTTTCCTGAGACCCACTGTCCGCTGTTCGCTCCAGGAGGCTCATCCGCTAGGCCACGGTAGGACGCCATCTTCCGGGAGGCTCCACATTGTCTCAATGTTCAGTCCCCAAAACTTCTTCTATCAATAGTTCATTAACGGTGTATGTAAGTTCCACCATGTTTTTCACTACAACGGTACAGCAAAGTATATTTTTTTAGCATTAAACTGTTATTATTTTATTGTTTAATCATCACTACATATAACACCATCCATCATCACTACAAATAGCATCATCCATCATCACTACATATAACACCATCCATCATCACTACAAATAACATCATCCATCATCACTACATATAACATCATCCATCATCACTACATATAACACCATCCATAATCACTACATATAACACCACCCATCATCACTACATATAACACCACCCATCATCATCACTACATATAACACCATCCATCATCACTACATATAACACCATCCATCATCACTACAAATAACACTATCCATCATCACTACAAATAACACCATCCATCATCACTACATATAACAACATCCATCATCACTACATATAACACCATCCATCATCACTACATATAACACCACCCATCATCATCACTACATATAAGACCATCCATCATCACTACATATAAGACCATCCATCATCACTACATGTAACACCGCTCACCATCACTACATATAACATCCATCATTACTACAGATCGGTAAAGTAGTTTCCGAGAGTCTCGTGCGGACACACATACACACAAACACACACACACACAGACATACTTCTTTGTTTTATATATATATATATATATATATATATATATATATATATATATATATATACTATTTTGTCAAATGACATTCTTACCATGCTGACGCGGACGAATGAGCTTCGGTCTATATGGTGGTGTGGGATCTCAAGTAATGTGAGAAGGAAGACGGAATCACTTGCTCTTAAATTTCAGAAGTTTTCAGATCAAGGATACACCTTGCAAGCGATGCGTTGAGTTGATGTGTTGGAAATGAGAGCCGTGTTCTTCAGCATCAACCTTAACTGTTTCACTATTAATATTGAATTCATCACGAACAGGCCCGGAATACTGAGTCAAACATAACTAATTGGTATACAGTATACTGTTGGATCACAGTGTTGACATCACATCTCTTCAGTTGAGTAACAACGTTTAGAATTTGTCTGAGAATAACACGTGTCATTAAATTCCATTCACGAGCTCATATATAAACTGTAGTGAAACTGCACTAGGCGGGTCACACCAAGCCTCTGCAACATACTTACCGTCTTGATCTTTTGGACTTAACTCTATCTTTATAGAGCAATGAAAACTAATTCATTCAAAGCTCATTTCAAAATCTGTTCACCTGCATAACCCAAAACCCTTGAGTGAAGAGTTGAACAATGATCCCGTCACTCAACTTGGTGCTGAAAAACGAGAACATTAAAAAATTGTGGTCCATTTGTCATCCTGATATATAAAGACCTATTCAGTCAGTTAAGTGTTGAATAGTAGACTCTTTTCTCCAAACCGTGTGTGTGTGTGTGTGTGTGTGTGTGTGTGTGTGTGTGTGTGTGTGTGTGTGTGTGTGTGTGTGTGTGTGTGTGTGTGTGTGTGTGTGTGTGTAAAACCTGCAATTTGGTATTCGGCAGTAACTCCTGTGAGTCTTAGTTTATCCTTGTTTCAGTGAATGCTATTATATTGATTTTTTCGGTACATACCAACGCCCTGCTTTCGTCCATTTTATTTCTCATACTCCAACTGTTTGTATAGCAGACATTTAAGTTGGTCGTGGTCTGAGTCCTCTCACTGTCACATTTAGGTTTTAACTCTCTGCCTAATTTGCCTTTATCATCATCCCCAGCACGATTTCTCTGTATCCTTTCGTTTTGTTTACCCGCTCCCACCGCAGGCTCCTCGATCCCCGTGTTCATATGTTACTCTCGCGGTTTAAAGATTTCGACTTCTTTTGAACTGCCCTCTCGAGAGAGTCTGCTTGGCGTTGCCACCCCATCCTTAGCATAATGGTCCTTTCTGCCGTAGAAGTTGTCCCACTTGTCAATGAATGGAACTGATATTGACTTGCAATATCTGTCAAGACGACCATTGACACCAACTGCCCTTGACAACCATTCATTGCCAACTCTCCTTCTAGGCAGGACACCACATATGATAGGGATCCCTCCCTTCATCCCAATACGTTCTATAGCTGTCTTGAACTTATCAAGGAGCTCCTCACTCCTACACCGGCCAATATCATTACCTCCTGCACTGAGGCAGATAATGGGTTTGGCCCATTTCCAGACATGAATGTTGTTATTCTTATGAATTAATGCGTTGTCTCCTCTGAGAAAGATAATGTTTTCTCTTAAAGGAATCGATTTACATTAAAATAATTTTGTTTTGATTAGATTTACATTTGGATATGTCATCAGTCTGAATTCTTGATTATATATTGATGTACAGTTGCCCACACCTCCACCAGGTACAGTTTCCCACACTTCCACCAGGTAAAGTTAGAGATGTCAATCCTCTTTTCCCATTATAGAATCTAGTCTCATTAAACATACTGACTCTGTTAACATGAATTTGAGTAATGTTATATACAAATTGGTAATTAAGAAGATTTATAACCAGGTACAAGGGTTGGGTAACTATTCATTGACCTGAATATGGTGGACGCCTGCTGTCCATAGGGACTTAAACTCACTTACCTTGACTGTTTTTATTTGGCTCGTTATTAACTACTCCTTAGTCTGTACTCACCCCTAAAGATGTGAATTACATAGAGCTCTTGGGAACTTCACGATCTGTAAATATGGATGATGCACAACTACAGAGATTTACATAAGTAAATATCGCGTGTGACCTTGGTTTAAATGATAACATTCGGCCTCCATGTGTGTTGAGTCTCTTCGTGCATAAAATCGTCGTCACCTGAATCCCAGTTTGGAGTTAAGTGAGCTTGGAATACTTCTATAATATTTAGCATCTCACTCAACTCGTAATACTTGTTTGGCCTACATCCTTTCTTATTAAATACTGTGTGGTAGCTGCAGAAGCTCTCTCCCAGACCACAACCTGTGGACCCTCACACCCCTCCTCTTACCCTCACTCGTGACCATTTCAGAATCATGCTCCGATACTCTCTGGGTTCACACATCATGGAAAGAGAGGAATGGCAATGCTAACTGTACCAGTATATTTCATTTAGTCTCAAGATGATAAACTAAGTGAAGTTGCTTCATTGAGTCAAATAAAGACGAAACACAATAAATAGATAGATAAATGGGCAGATAGATGAAGGTCTTAACGTCCATAATTTATATAAACTTAGTTAAGCCAAATATATGTTGATATTACATGGAAAATAATTGTTATTGCTTTGAGATCTTAATGTCAACATTTTTACCAATATTTTGATGTATAGCAATTGAAGTTATGATTCTGCATCAGCATATTTAAATGCAGTTCACTACCTGACCTTGTCCAGTTCAACCTGTTTTCCTTTAAATGGAAAGAAAACGTAATGCTTCCCTGCACTTCAAGCCAGCCTCCATCGCGGTCTGACCCGTCCATCATGGTAGGAAGTAAAATATAAACTTGCACAGGGATTTTTGGCATTATATTACTAACACACACACACACACACACACACACACACACACACACACACGTATCACCTAAAGAAACACAAATTGATCAAAGATTCCCAGTATGGCTTCACAAGTGGGCGTTCATGTCTGACAAATATATTATCATTCTTTTCAAATGTTTTCGAACCAGTAGATGACGAACACGATTATGATTTGGCTTACCTCGACTTTAGCAAAGCCTTCGACAGGGTCAACCATGAAAGACTAACACATAAAGTTGAGACACAAGGAAATGTAGATGTTCTAAACTGGATAAGGACATGTTTACATGCCAGGAAACAGAGAGTCAGCATTAATGGCACCAAATCCGACTTGGGTAACGTCACTAGTGGAGTACCCTAGGCTCAGTACTAGGTTCATTATATACATACACGACATACACATATAGGAGCAACCAGTAGCATAAGTAAATTTACGGACGACACTAAACTAGGGCGTGTAATAAAATGAAAGGAACAGTTTAATTTGAAGACGATATTTTCCTGAGGGTGTTAGTCTGTTTCCTTTTTCTTAAACTGTTATAATCAAGGGGGAGTTATTTGGTCATTGAACTCCTAATCTTAAGCAAATATTTCTATTATCGTTTTGTTTATGTTATTCACAGTATAAGCTTGTGAGAGTGGCGACCCTGGTGGTGTTGGCGATGACAGCCGACGGACACCAAGACTACCACCAAAGAAACTCCTACAGAGGAAGAGGAACACCTAGTAGAGGAACGGGAGATCACTACCTTAGAGGAGAAGGTGGAGGAAGACACTCAATGGTTGACTATAATGATGTTAAAGAAAAACCCGCCCCAAGTGATCATGCACCTATGTTTACGGTTTCCCTTAAAGTGCCAAAACCTGACAGAATCACAGGAAAAAACGAACCATATCATAAACCACAACCACCATATTTCCAACGTGATATAGTTCTCGGTGGTGGTAGAGGCAGAAGACCTGGTAAAATTATTGCTTTTACAAAAGGACGGAGTAATATTGTACGGGACGGAGATAACCATGGTGCTGCTCTCGACGTTACTACAGGAACTGACGGCTCAAGACCCATGTCAGTGTATGGTGAGTCTCGGTCTGGACGCGGCGAGGCTAAAAATAATCTAACATTTGGTATCGGTAGAGCAACCAATTGAGTCTGCCTATTACTGAGTTGAACTGCGTATAATTTTTCTTCAGAATTATTTTAGAAAATAGAAAATAAACTCTTCTGGATAATTTAAAATGCGGAATTCATACAAAATAAGAATTAGGCTTAAGAATGAAAATTTATGTTACAGTTTTATAATGACCAACGAGAAATAAAGAACAACCAATTGTCATCAGGTCACACGCCGTCTTGTTTACATTTGCCCTTTACTCTACGGTTCAAGGAAGAACAGAGAGTTGTACTATGTAGTTTGGGTAAAATATGATACAAAATCTTAATCTTTGTTTAATTCACAATCTACTCAGCACCACGTGTCAAGTATGGAGTTAAACACTGAATCGAAATAGTGTACTGGTGTTGTTAACGGTCAAGGAGACTAACTATACCTTTTATACCAGGTAATAACGCTGGCTTCCTGTACTAAGGCTGTGTGTGGATAACTAACTGTAAATGGAGGTGATAAAGAGAGAGAGATAAAGAGAAAGAGACAGACAGAAACAGAGAGGCACACACAGAGAAACAGAGAAAAAGGTGTTAAAAGAGAGATTAACAAAAAATGTGTGCATAATCAATCAATCAATTCATCCTGACAGTAAATATATTGGAATACCTGTTTACCTGCTGGCGGTTCAACATAAGGTACTAAGGCGTGAGAGAGGACAGGTAAAACACCTCCTTAATACAGGTTAATGATTTTATTGGACAAAATAATCTCTCAAAAATAACTAAATAAATCACTAATTAATACTCTTCCACCAATCAATCACATACAGTAGTGTTTTTGTTGTAACAAGCAAAAAAATCACCAAAATGGTTCAAGAAATCAATTTAAAACTATCAATGAAAACGCCCAGGGGAATGACTATATTAGTAAGATAATGGGTGGTAAATCTATTTGCTATTTCAAGATCTTCAACAGTGGAGAGATATAGGATAATTGCTTGTAAGTTTAATGAGATCGAAGGATATAACCTATAACATGATCAATGTTTTGCCTTTCTAACTCAATATACCAAACGTAATAATTGACATCAAAAAGGCATTAACAAAGACACCTAATCTAACCTAACCTACTCTTTTCTGGTCTTGTTGATATGGAGTTGTAGACGATAGGCAAATGCAGTGAATTAACTCATGGATAGATACCTTAACCAATTTAGTATCATGCCAACCTCCTCCGTGTAACTAATTAACATATCCAGTCAGATATCTTAACCCCATGAGTACGATGCTACCTTCCTGAGTACTATATAACACATTGATTATTATATATTAATCCCTTGAGCAGAATATCTGAAAGTTAGAGTACGAAGACTTAATCCCTTAATTATATGGTACTCAAGGGTTAAGTCATCGCACTCAAAGGTTTAAACCTAATTGGGGAACTACCCTTTACTAATGGGCTCAAACGTGGTCATTACTGCTTCTGAAATATTAAAGGTGTAAACCGTACACCTGAAGGAAAATCAATTACCCCAGTCGTCTGTCAGTTTGTCATTATAATGTAAAAATAAACATGTTCAAGTTATATTAATATACACTATATGGACGTACATGAAAACATAGTCAAGTTCCCCCCCCCCCAAAAAAAAAAAAAAAATCGCTTCATCAATACAAAGTTTTTATTCCTCTTAAATAATTTTTTCATAGTGGTTCAGTTTCCTTACTCGACGACGTAATGTTTACTCCTTAACCGACCAAAAAAAACATAATGTAAAACTATAATGTTTCTCTAAGGAAAAGTCAGCAACATTTATAAAAGAAACTTAAACCACAATTCTTGTTTATCTAGTTTTTATTAAATCTTGAAATACTGTTGGCGTAAAAGGTCACGCTTGTCACCTCAACCAGATTAACACACACACACCTGTTTCAAGACCTTGGAAGCATTACCTGTGGTACCTTAAATGGAACTGCTAGTTGGTTCCGATGGTCACTTTCAAACCCACCCAGCCTCACCACCATCGCGTCCGGCCATTATGGTAAGTATCAAGTATTTGCTTATTTGAGAGGATCGTATTTTGGTATTATTATTATTATTATTATTATTATTAGTAGTAGTAGTAGTAGTAGTAGTAGTAGTAGTAGTAGTGTCAATAGACCAACCAACCAGTGCTATGCCTTCTTAAAGAAAATTATAATAGAAAATATACAATGGAAAAGCTAGGTGTATACAGTAAATATTGCTCTTCTACCATTTAACACAATCACTTAAAAATTCTCCTCGTGTTGAAGTGTCTTATAAAAACGACTCATTATTGGTTCAGATAGAAAAAAAAATTAAACTGACATAAAAAATATTTATTGTCTTAAAAGTTGAACTAGTTAGGATTACATTCCATCGGTTCGTACAGTCGTTCCACCTTAGGTTAACTGGGGTATGGACGCGACCGTAATGTGACTGGTACGTTAAATATCCTCAAGCTCTTGGTCTACCGCTCCCTTGGGTAATATGTGAATACGCGACGAGTCTATACATAAACAGATTAATTGGTCGAAAATCTTATTAGAACCAATAATAACATTTGGGGGCCATCGGGACTGTGTGTATTATAAAGATTTAGTTCCATGTGACCAGCCAGCCAGAGGTACAGTAACACACGTCTGCCCGTAAAGAAAGTTGATGGAAAACCTTTACAGCGTCAAGTTACTAACACATAATCCTATCTCCTTGAACCTGTTGAGGAAAATACTGATATTCCAGAGAGTAACAGCACCCTGGCCTGACACTTTCATTAACTTACAGAATTATTCTCAACAGAGGAACACAACGCAATTATTAATTCCCAACAAATCAAGTTCGAGACGTGAATAAATACTCGAAATACATTTATGTTAGTTATCAAATTAATAAATAACAATTATGCTTGTTATTCATGCTAAATAGTTTTGTGTGATAATACAAAACTATTTAGCATTGTGTGAGTTGTCCTTTATCTTGCTATAACCTTCATTACCCCTAATAAACGTAGAGACAGCAAACAAACACATTCCGAAGGCAGTAAAACCTATATACATTAAAGCATATAAATTACAAACACATTATCGATTTAATTACATACGTTTTCTGATAAAATATTATTAAGTAATATTTTAAGAGAGCGTTGTTTATGTTTCTTTAAATTATCTCTCTGTGATGACCAGCGTGTGGGCGTGGCAGCGGCAGTCCTGGCGGTGCTGATGGCCATCGCCACCGGACACCAAGAAAGCGGACAAGAACTCCCTGTAGTGAGAAGGGATGTGGCTGATTTACCTGACGGGGGTGGAGGAGTAACTGATGGAGGAGGAGGGGGATCTGGTGGCGAAGGATCTGGTAGTGGAGGAGGATTCGGAGAAGGATTTGGTGGTGGAGTAGGATCTGGTGGAGGAGGATCTGGTGGTGGAGGAGGATTTGGTGGTGGAGGAGGATCTGGTGGCGAAGGATCTGGTAGTGGAGGAGGATTCGGAGAAGGATCTGGTGGTGGAGTAGGATCTGGTGGAGGAGGATCTGGTGGTGGAGGAGGATCTGGTGGTGGAGGATCTGGAGTGAAGGATCTGGTAGTGGAGGAGGATTCGGAGAAGGATCTGGTGGTGGGAGGATCTGGTGGAGGAGGATCTGGTGGTGGAGGAGGATCTGAGGTGAGGATCTGGTAGTGAGGATCTGGAAGGATCTGGTGGTGGAGGAGGATCTGGTGGTGGAGGAGGATCTGGTGGTGAAGGATCTAGTGGTGAAGGATCTGGTGGTGGTGGGATCTGTGGTGAAGGAACTGATGGTGGTGAAGGATCTGGTGGTGAAGGATCTGGTAGTGGAGAGGATCTGGTGGTGGTGGAGGAGGATCTGGTGGTGGAGGAGGATCTGGTGGTGGTGGAGGATCTGATGGCGAAGGATCTGGTAGTGGAGGAGGATTCGGAGAAGGATCTGGTGGTGGAATTGGACCCGGTGGAGGAGGATTTGGTGGTGGAGGAGGATCTGGTGGTGGAGGAGGATCTGGTGGCGAAGGGTCTGGTAGTGGAGGAGGATTCGGAGAAGGATCTGGTGGTGGAATGGGACCCGGTGGAGGAGGATTTGGGGGTGGAGGAGGATCTGGTGGTGGTGGAGGATCAAGCAAAGGAGGTGGATTTGGAGGTGGATTTGGAGGTGGATACGGAGGAGGATCTGGAGGAAAAGGAAGTGGAGGAGGAGGAGGATCAGGAGGTGGAGGAGGATCAGGAGGAAACGGAAGAGTCGTAATGCCAGGTAAACCAATCTGGAAAAAATTCTTCCCGGGATTTGGTCTTGGAAAAGGATCAGCATTCGGTAGTGGAGGAGGATCTGGTAATGGTAGTGGTCAAGGATCAGCATTAACAGATGGAGATAAGGAACCTATGCCAGAAACAGGTGGGGCAGGTGAGGTGCAGCCGGGTAAAGTCTTTATTGAAACAGAAGCTGATGCTAGTTCTAGTGCATCGGTATCGAATGCTGAAGCAGAGCCTGTAGAGGAAATGTGAACCAGTCTACAGATAACTTAATGTACTCTGTGGTGGTCCTGACACTATTATGGTTGAGAGGTAAAGCTTCTGTTTCTTGTAGATTTCTTAGAGCTTTCTGTGTACCTTAATGATATAGTTATTATATAGCAGAGCGGATAACTGGCACAATCAAACAAATGATCATACAAGCGTGAAATTTGGTATGAACATTCATTATGGATCACTTATCAAATCTATCCGATTGGACATTCAAAATTCCAAGATGACAGCCATTTTCCAAGATGGCTGCTAAATTTGCCTAACCGAAAACATTTTTTACATATAATGACTTATCATTAGGCAATCTGTGCCCATAAGGTGTCTGTTCTGTTTTAAAACATGCTGGAACAAATTATGATTTCTGTTGGAGCGCTCAGATATGTCTTTTATGCATAAAGCAACGGTTCTACACATACTTTAAAACACTGAAGAAACATGTTTATATCTTGCTCAGATCCTTGGGACATATTGTTATTAGAATTCTTTCGTATTTACAGCTGGTGGCATGTGCAGCCACAGAGAGCTGTGCAAGTGAGACAAAAGTTGATACATTTACATCACTGTCCACAGTCTTTCTTACAAGAACACTTGGTCAGTTCTTGACAGCTCGCTGTTGTTGGTGGAAGGTCTGTCCAGTGTATTTGCCACATATCTCCTTTCTTTTTCCAGCCCCAGTTAGCAGGACTTGGAATGTCTGGTTGGGTTACTGTTGCCTGACCCCAAATCATTCCACCTTGATAGGCTGCACGCTTTACATGTTCCTTTAGAGCAGACTGTGTTGGTGGAATTGCATTATATGATCTCTGTTTGCAAGCAAATAAATCACTGTCATACATCACCACCACAAACCTTTCCAAGACACGGAGGTCTTCTTCACTAACTGATGTAGGACACTGACTGTGTTTGGTGAAGGTACTGGAGACCTCCTTAAACACATTCCAATTTGTCATGCAGTCTTTTTACCTTAACCACGGAAGGCTGACACAACATTACAACCATTGAGTATATGGAAAAATGTGATTCCAGTGGCTTTTTCAGGCCCTATGGTTACAACTAACTCATAAACAGGAATCCATCCTGTATAAGCCCCTTGACCAAAAGAAATCCATATTTCTTCAACACCAATTTCTCCTACTGATGTGAACACCGATACAACTATGACAATAATATCTGTGTTATTGGCTTTTATGAGAACTCTTTTACTGCCTTCCAATCCAGATTGTCTTGTATGAACAAAGAGGCGAGTATCTGACTCTTCATGGGAGCATAGAGTCAACTCTTCCAGAGGCTTATCATGGTTGTTAATGGCATCTTCTCCCTTTGTTACAATAATTGTGCATGGTGACATAATTTCACACACCTTTGCTTGTACGGTAAGACTAAGTCTGACAGTCTAAAAATTGTTCGATTAGAACCTTTACAGGCTGTGTTTGTCTCATTGATGTATGTCACCAGTTCAGAGAAAGCCAGTGCATATGCATCTTTTTTGTCAAGGTTCTTTGTGTTTTCTCATATTCCTTCGCACTAAGGTAAGCTCTTTCTCTATAGTACAGTGCAGCTAAGAAAGCAGGGTGATATTTTATCTCTTGTGCCACTACATCTGCACCAAGTTTAACAAGAAGTCTTTTGTCACTGAGTGTCTTTGCACATGCAATAATTCTATCATTGAGTTGCATTGTCATTGCTTGTCTGAGAAAACTCTCTGTTACTGGCTTGTCACACAAAAATCATTCTGTTGTGGTTTTTGTGTCTCTTGGCTTTCATGGTACCTTACTCCTGCAACCTTCATCACCGTCAACTACAGATGTGGTTGCTCTTTTTGGGGTTCTTTGCAACATTGTGTTGTTAAACCTAAGTTTACAGCTCTCATGATATTTTACATAAGTTTCCTAAATGTCTCTTCAATACCATCGCCATCATCTAGTCTTTCCATATCAAGCCTTAATGGAAGGGCATTGATTGAGTTGAAAAGAGGAATATTCTTGGCTAATTTGCTGTAGCCATCTTCCTCTCTTCCAGTAGGGTTAGTCTTTGGAGATGAAAGTTTTTCCTTCTTATCATCTTGACACAGGCAGCACTTGGCCCAGTTTGTTTTCCTTTCAGGATTACTTTTAGGACCAATATTCATCACCATTGTGGTACAGAGCCGAGGGTTTATCCTTTTACCACTCTGTATTATATGTACTTTCCTGTATGGGACACAACCAGGTTCAAGCAAATGTTTGCTCTACACCTAGCCCGATCGTTCATCTAGTATCATTTAAGTCCCGTGCGATCTGTACACCATCCACATAACTTTAGCCCATTATCCTTGGTTCGGCTCTCCAGCGCTGGCATATCCTGTCAATGCAGGTGCGGCTACCTATCCTTACTTGGGGATGATTAGGTAACATTTGGGACACAGGAGCAGTGTTGTCACCAGTGTGCCCTGGTAGTACATTGACATTCACTCTTTATAAACTTGTTTCCTTTGAATGCTATTTATTTCAGAGTTTTCAACACAAAATTCAGAGTCCACATGCTCAAAAAACATGGTAATCAACACTGACATCACCACACTTGATTAACACAATAATTTTTATGGCAAAAGGGAAATCTGACATTCACATTTGTTGACCATCTTGGAATTTTGAATGTCCAATCAGATGGATTTGATAATTAACCAAAAAAAGAATCTTCATACTAATTTTCATACTTGTATCACCATTTGCATGATTCCCTCAAAAATTGACACTTAGCCGCTCCGCTAACAGTATAATTTTCTGTAGTTATCCTCCATCACCTACGACAACATTGGAAACATTAACGTCTTTAGTAAAACTTGAAATATATTTGATCCTGAATTTATACATTTAGCTATTTTACTCTGTCATTATTTTCAACCAATTTATTAGAGAATCTTACGAACTGACGTTGTTTAATCTTTCCCCAGGTGTATGCCAATTAATACCTGCAACGACGCTACACTTCACAACACACCCTCAGCTGACCACGGCCAACGGTCACCTCAACTCTCCTCCATCACAAAAAGATTATATATTTTATTAATTATTTAATTGCTATCGTCTTATTTCTGTATTTACTTAAAATGTGTGAAAATAGTATAAAAAATATTTCTTTGTAAATTATCCTACAATTCAATAAATTGTATTCTTCATTTACAAATTTTGCTCGTACCGTTTATATTCACTTATGTCTGTATGTATGTAATAATAATAATAATAATAATAATAATAATAATAATAATAATAAACGGTTTATTGAAAAAGTTCTGCAGCCCGAAGGCTGAAAATATACATTGGACATAAATGACTTATTACATACATTGGTGGTTTAACAAAAGCCTTCATTAGAGAAAGGTAAAGGAACATACAGTGAACATACAGATTAATGTTTTCAGTGAGGTCAAGATCTTGTGCGCTGAGGTGTTGAACAGCAGACACGTGTGTAGTAACTCCTCAAAGATGGTGTTATGAGGGCATCACGTGTGTAATGGTTCTCATGGTGTTATGAGGTGCTGACGTGGTGTATGGTTCTCACAGGTGGTGTTAGAGTGCATTGGTGTATTAATTCCCTCACAGATGGTGTTATGAGGGCCTGATGGATTCCCTCACAGATGGTGCATAGGGGCATCACGTGGTGTAGTAACTCCCTCACAGATGGTGTTATGAGGGGCATCACGTGGTGTAGTAGTTCCCTCACAGGTGGTGTTATGAGGGGCCTGACGTGGTGTAGTAATTCCCTCACAGATGGTGTTATGAGGGGCCTGATGTGGTGTAGTAATTCCCTCACAGATGGTGTTATGAGGGGCATCACATGATGCTGTAGCAACTCATTCACTACGTGGTGTTGTAGCCTCATGGGGACACCACGAGGTCTGGTGTCACAGGACCTCACTGGTGTGGTCGCAGACCTCCCTATCGTGGACGGATTAACACATAGCTGGTGTTGTTGAGTCTCAGGGGCAGTTATCACTGGGTACCTGGGACCTCACTGTGTGAAGGTTAGCTTGGGTATGACTCAGCTGTTACTGTCGAGTTGTTTTTCACTGACTTAAGCACTGTTCACCACTATTCAACACTGGTTCCATACCTTTCGTAAGTTAAATAGTAACTTCTGGCGAGAACTTGTTGAAATTCCGGTGGGGAGGAGGGTTCAGTGGAGGGAGTTGGTATGGGGCCAACATAACAGTTGTCGTGGTCAAGGATGCCTGCCTGCCTGCCTGCCTACATGTATGTATGTATGTATGTATGTATGTGTCATGTGAAGAAATACAAAGACGAAGATTTTTAGTGGAACAGATGATAAAACAAGGAGGATAAAAATATATATTAAAACGAGAAGTAAGAGAGAAGGAGGTACAGATATGGTAAATGATGGACATGATAAACACAAGAAGTATATTAAACTAGACGTAAAAGAACAGATGATAACAGACTATTGGTGCAGATGATATAGAGTGATCTATAGACCATGTTCTCAAGTGAGAGAGACATTGAAGAAGCCATTATAACATTAGTGTCTTGTGTTGAACTTTCTCTTAATGACATACGTGAATGTATTAAGATGAATTAACACAGAAGTTCTGGTTCCTCATTACCTAAACCATAAGGAGATAAAGATAGGAATGGATTATCTCTATATTGATATTTTCCTTGTCTCTCTCTCACCAGCATCAACACAACATATGGCTCTATCACCCAAATGTATCATCAAAACATCAACATTTCACCTTCTTTGGGATTATATGAGTCCAGGTCCTAATTAAAATAGAAATAAGACCATTTATGAGTTCATAACATATTAATGACTCAGAATAAAAACTTGTGGTCCGTGATTCTCTTTCTGGACTAGAATCGATTACCTCACCCCGTCCCGTCGTCTCTCAGGATATAGAGAGACAAATCCAGAATTGCCTCACAAGGGCGAAGACAGACGCCGTCCTTATCCACTTTATATAGATCACATCCCATATTGGCCTCCACAACCACGACTATGTAGACACCCTCGCAAAATCCGCCTGCACACTCCCTATCCCTGATGACGCTTCAACCATAAATACTGGTCGAGTCAAGACGCTCTCAGAAAACCGCTCTTTAAACTATAAACGAAGAACGAAGTGAACAACGAGGAGCCAATGTTAGTGTTCACCAATATGATAAACATTGTGACGTAAAATATAAATACGGCCGTAATAAATGTCTGACTCAGCTCAGTGATGCAGTTGCCGCCAGAATCAGACTTGGCTATAGGCCATTTTGGGAGCTCTTGAAAACCCTTCCGTTGCACTTAGTCATTGTCGAATTTGTGGCGAAAGTAGAAAATACAGCCTTCAACATTACATCGTACAATGCAGACTAATTCTCTCTTTGTTGCCACTTAACAGAACTTTGACGAACTCTGTAAATTCATCATAAACAACCAATGCCTCGGACACTGTTTTTTTTTTTTTTTTTACGGATTAGCCCCCCGGGCATAGGTCAATATCCCACATCGGGGCCTGGGGGCGAAATGTAATAATAATAATAATAATAATAATAATAATAATAATAATAATAATAATAATAATAATAATAATAATAATAATAATAATAATAATAAAATTACAAAAATTAAAAAAAAGACAAAAAGTGAGAAAAAATATATGTACTGTATGTTGTGTTGTCAATGGTAAGAGAAACAATTGAGACCCTGCAATTGTGTGTAAATGAGGCAGAAAGTCAGATCAGCAACCTGGGACTTGGTCACAATTTTCGTGATGCCATATGGCAGCAGGGTCTACCATTAGACAACACATTATGCTTCCAATTTCTTCCCAGGCGGTAGTACCTCCCTGTTTGGTAGCTGCCTACTACCTACTACCTGTATGTTGTGTTGTCAAAGTAAGAGAAACAATTGAGACCCTGCAATTGTGTGTACATGAGGCAGAAAGTCAGATCAGCAACTTGGTCACATATGGCAGCAGGGTCTACCATTAGACAATACAATATGCTTCCAATATCTTCCCAGGCGGTAGTACCTCCCTGTTGATAGGTACCGACTTACTTTTTTTTAATGGCCTCCAGGCTCCCCCAATAGCCATACTTTCGCCACCATTTTATTACCTTAATATGTACCTACAAACTTACTACCGTCATATCAAAAAAAAATTACCATATAAAATACCTGCTCTAGAAAACTACCACTTCACTCACTTGTCTTAGTCCACTTCTTGAGGTGCGAGTTCCACTGTCTCATTCAGTACACCCACAAGCAGTCAACTTGGGTTGCAGCTGCCCTACGAGGCTAGAGTCAGTGCAAATAATGACCTAAAAACTGAAAACTAAAAAACTTTTTGTCACTGCAAGTTTTTCTTCATATCCTGCATTTAATTCCGTTAGGTATTTATTTTCCCACCTGGCGACCCTTATTCTTAACCTAATATATATCTGGAGACAAAACTCATGAATATATATCAACAACATTATGTCGCCAAAGTTCCTTATTAGTGTTTTTTTAAGGGTCCCGAGTCGTTGTTTATATACATAGTCACGCCTGTTCCGTCCACCAGATCAACACACACACCTGCTTCAAGACCTTGGAAGCATTACCTGTGGTACCTTAAAGGGAACTGGTAGTTGGTTCTGATAGTCACTTTGAGGCCCAGCCTCACCACCATCACTTCCGGCCATTATGGTAAGTATCAAATATTATCTTATTTGAGAGGATCATATTTTGGTATTATTGTTATTATTATTATTATTATTATTATTATTATTATTATTATTATTATTATTATTATTATTTTTATTATCATTATTATTATTATTATTATTATTATTAGTAGTAGTAGTAGTAGTAGTAGTCGTAGTAGTAGTAGTAGTAGTAGTAAGAGCTGAAGGAAGTAAAGGATTGGAGAACCATATCTTATAAAAAACTAGTTGATTAATTTAGGGAGGAAGTGTCAGGTGACTACAGAAATTTATTACTTTTGGCAAATTTCTTAAGTTTTCGTTTTATTGAGATAGACAACTTATTTCAAGGCTGAGATTTTGAAAACTTATTTTGTGTGTGTGTGTGTGTGTGTGTGTGTGTGTGTGTGTGTGTGTGTGTGTGTGTGTGTGTGTGTAATCCTACTACAACTTTGCTGTCACTCCAAATTGAGTATGACGATCATCCAGTTTTAATACAATGACATAAATAATTAAGGATGTCACCTTCGTTGGTGAGCTCTGGGGTGACTCAAGAGGCTGATATGGGATCGGCAGGGCCGTCCACAGATGTTGCACGTGTGGAGGGCTACATCTAGTGCAGGAGGGACGGGCTGGGCCGGCAGCGTCTTTCCGGCGTTGGCGCTTGTCTGCCTCGGTTTGCAATCTGGCTAACTCGAGAGTATTGACACCTTCACGTGTGGTGCTCCTCCAAGTATAATGGTATGGAGGGATCGTCTCTCAGGTAAGGGGGTCGATTTGGCCCTTTTTCAGGTTTGTCTGAAGACTATCCTGAGACATTTTCCGTTGTCTGCCAGCGTTACATTTACCATTCATTAGGTGACTGTAAAGTAGCTGCTTTGGCAGTCTACTGTCGTTCATGCGGGTAACATGGCCAGTCCAGCATAGTTGTTCATGGATAATGGTAGCCTCGATGCCCCTACAGTTGGTATCAGCAAATACTGGCATTTGTTCTCTTGTCTTCCCAGCGAACTCGGAGGATCGAATGTAGGGTGGTGAAAGTTTTTAAGTGCCTTGAGGTGCCTCCTATATGTGACCCATGTCTTGCTGCCATACAGCTGGGTGAGGAGAACCACGCCTCAATACAATTGCAACTTTGTAGATAATTTCAGCTCCCTACAGCTGAGGACACGGGTACGGAGTCTGCCAAGGGCTTGAGATGCACTTCTAATCCGATGCCGAATCTCTTCATCGATGTCTGCGGTGGTGGACAGGTGAGAGCCAAAGTACTGGAAGTGGGTAACATTAGAGAGGGTAGAACCATTAAGCTGGATGTAAATACTCATCTGTGTAGGTATTCAGGATCTCCTGTAGGTTGCGTTCAGCGTGAGCATCGAGGGTGAGGTCGTCTGCATACTGTTCCTTCCTGGTGCCGTCTTATATTGAAAAGACACTTCATCAGTTACTGGATGTCCACCCCGCCGTATAAATTGGCACTGGCATGAGTAAGGAAAGCAGCCAAGAAAATGGAAAACAGAGTTGGCGCTGGTACACATACTTGTTTTACCCCTGTTTGCATAGGAAAGAACTTTGACTGGGTGCCATTGTGCAAGAGATGCCTCATAATTGCAATGAATTTTGGTGGGCAGACGAAACGACTGAGGGTCCGGCAGAGGGCTTCCCTCTTGACCGACCGATTCAAAGTCCTGAGTAAGGTCAATGAAGGCCATGCACATGTCGCGACGCTGTTCTCTGCACTTTTCCTGTATCTGGCGGGCAGCAAATATCTTGTCAGTGGTGTCACGTGATGGTCTAACCCCACATTGAGATTCTGGGAGGACTCGGGCGATAATCTCGCTACAGACAGCAGTGAGATCTCTCAGTTGTTGCGACAGTCTGACCAGCCTCCCTTATTCTTTTAAATATTGACGATCTTGGGGGGATTTCCTCCTTCTCCCATATATTCTCCAGGAGTGAGTGGGGATGGTTAATAAGCAGAGGTCCTCCTGCTTTATACACCTCGACTAGAATTCCATCAGGCCCTGAGACTTTGTTATTTGTCATCTGCTTGATGGCAGTAGCTACCTCATCCAGGGTGGAAGATAGCTGAGGTGGGTCAGCTCTGGGCGCTGAGGAACCTGCTAGGTAGTCAGGACATCCACATCGGTGTTTCGGTTGAGCAGCGAATGGTAGTGCTCTTTCCAGCACTGATGAATGCCTTCTTCGCCTATACTTAGGGAGTTGCCATTGGATGAGCGGAGGGGATCCGCGCAATGAGTCGTTGAACCATATACTGTGTTAGCGGAATTGAAAAATTCACGCATCTTGTGTTCATCTGCAATGTTTTGTATTTCACACACTATATTTTTCCACCATTTGTTCTGCGAAGTTTGTGATTGACCGTTGCTTTCTTCTCGTGGAAGGTATCAGCTTTGGTCCGAGATTTAGGGTTGTTCTGGCAGTCAGTGAGAGCAGCAGATTTACTATTGATGAGTACTTCGATTTTCGGGTCTTTTTCATCAAACCAATCCTGGGGTTTTCATTTGATCTGGCCAATCGTCTCTTTACAGGTTTTTGTGATAACAGCTTTGATGGGACAACATTCGGAACTCGGATTTTGGATGTTTGATGATGCGCTGTTTGTCAGCCCATTGTTGAGCTGCTCTCTGAAAGCATGTGCTGCTGCTAGATTCTCCAGTCGCTTAGTGTTAAAGCCACGTATGGCTCGGGTGATGAGGACATCTAGGCGATCTTTTTCTCAAGACAATGATGTAGTCAATGAGATGCCAGTGTTTGGCTCGTAGGTGTTGCTAAGAACCCTTGAACTTGTCGACCTGTCTAAACAAGGTGTTGGTGATAGTGAGGTTGTATTCAGCACACTTGCTGAGGAGAAATAGGGCGTTGGAATTGCACTTGCCTACTCCATTTGTCCCTATGGTTCCCTGCCATTTGTTAGCAGCTCTGCTAACTCTGGCACTGAAGTCACCTAGGAGCACAACCTTATCTTTTCTGGGGATAGATGTTCGCACTCTTTCAATACCAATGTAAAAGGCCTCCTTGATGTCACCCTCTGCATCCAGTATTACGGCATATGCACTGTTGAAGAAGGTATGACATGAGTGAATCAGTGGGATCGTTGATCCCAACAGGCTTTTCAGTTAGCCTATGTAGGATGGATTGGCGAACGGTAAAGCCAACGCCGTAAATGCGGTTCCTCTCCGAACCCATTCTGAGTCGACCTCGTCTGGGAGCCGGCACTCACTAATGTCGATGTTATACCTAGACAGCTCTTTTGCCACAAGGGCAGTTCTTCTTTCAGGATGCTCATTTGTGTCAGTATCCAGAAGGGTCCTGACATTCCATCCAGTGACGATACGAGGTTGATTATATATTTTTTTTTCCTTTGATCTGTGATTATGATGATTTTTCGGCGATATTAAGATGACCTTACTGGGTGCGGTTGCCCAGTCAGGTTGTTTTTTTTACGCAGGCTATGTTTAAGGCACCTTTTCTATCCCCTTCCCAATGTAGAGTGAGCAGATTGGCTCCTCGAAAGGGCTGCTCATTTGCACAGACAGAACCGGATTCACTGCCAACTCGATCCCATGCGCAGAATATTGACTAGAGAATCCCGGCAGTCATCTCTGCCTGTCCTCATCACCACTCGTCTGTCACCATAGGACTTTTGGGAATATAAGGGGTTTTGATGATGATGAGAAGTATGATGAAGTGGATAATTGCTGTGTGTGAGTTGATTTATGTGGTGAAGCAGGAGCGTTGGTTGCAACAACACATCTTGGCTCTCCCTATTCTTGATTCAGTGGTGCAAGTAGTTGCAGCGATAGGGGAGAGAAGAGTTGCAATGGACTGCCGATAGCCCAGTTTGTTAGGTTTTGCCTTAGTAGCCTGTCCATCATGTGTTGCCCTCGTCCACCAGTGTATTCTTTGGATTCCAATGTTGGTCACCTCTTCTGCCTACACCGTCGTTGGGGTCTTGCTGGAGCTCTGTAAGCATGTCTGCCTGTTGCGGGGCTCCACCGCAGATTTTTTGTTGGGGGTTTACTCCCGTAGCCTTATACCTCTCAAGGTTAATCTGCAAGGCAATGGGGTAGTGGTTGATAAGCGTCAGGACGTGTCTACATGCCAGTGAGCCTATGCATTGCCCCTTTGGGGCCCTCTGCTGCTCCGAGATCCCTTGCTGGTCTAGACTGGGCCCACGAAGTACCCAGTTACTGTGTGATGCCACGACGAGGCACAGCAGGAGTCTTGATGGTGAGGAGGCTGTGTACTGGCAGGGGAAGACTTGCGCAAGGTTGCCTCCTGTTCATAACGAGGGATAACCAGCGGCGGTAGCTGAAAACGAGAGGAAACAAGCAATGCTTGCACAATTTTCACTAACATAATGCTGCCACACTAGACACATTATATCACCCTGTGCACACACATCCATGTGTACCTGAAATAAACATATATTATTTTTAATTTCTCAATTTTGTCATGTTCTTTTATATTATACAAAAAAATCAGAACTAGGATTTTCCGTTACTGGTTGATGAATTTAATGGAAATTTAAATTGATAAAGTTTATAGGTGCTTGAAATGTGTACCTGACGGATACGTGTTTTATCGTTCGGAAATTAAGTGTTTACATGTGCAAAGGATACTTGAGTACAGTGACTTAACCCGTTAAGTGCAGTGACTTAACCCCTTAAGTGCAGTGACTTAACCCCTTGAGTGCAGAGACTTAACCCCTTGAGTGGCAGTGACTTAACCCCTTGAGTGACAGTGACTTAGCCCCTTGAGTACGATGACGAAAAGCCCATTAAGAACGATGACTTAACCTCTTGTATGGATTACCTGAACCTGGTATGATACTGCTTGTAGAATAAGTTGCTTTAATTCAGAATGAAAATTACCCGATGTCACCTCACTTTGTGGCGATAAACCGTGCTGGAGAGTTTTATTGAAAATTCTTTGTTACTTGTTTCAAATGCAGAGCGAAACTTAAACTAATGAATGGATTATTTTAGAATGTAAGAAGTTTAACATGTTTATGCTCCATCAGTTCATATTTCCACCTTTTGTTGCCTAGAGGGATGGAGACGGCCCTGGTGTGACCACTACGTTCATCTCGTTGTCATATGAACGTGTGACAAGTATACACGGTTATAGGTTATTTTGGTCAAGGTCCTAAAGAGCCAAAATCTAAACAAGACAATCAGATGTGGAATTCCTCGTTTTGCCCGGTCTCTTGCCACTGTCCGGGAAACGTGGAGTAATTTCTCTGTTTGCTCTTGTGTTAATTTTACATTTATGTCATTTTTGCTGAAAACTCATCTTTGACTTCATTTTCTGGAGAAACGTGAAGTTGCAGATAAAAATGCAAAGACAGTTTTGATCTGCCTTTCCGATAGAAATATAATGCAACTGTGGTGTACTGGTCAGCATGTTCGCCTCTCATACTAGTGAACTCGGGTTCGCTTCCCGGAGAGTAACTGTACACTGTTCTGACATTTTGATAAACTTTAGAAATAATTCTCAACGAACGAAGGTGATCAACATAGAGGAAAGGCGTGACTCGTTACTTCTCATTTAGTGTCTTTAAGAAGCAAGTTGGTCACCCTTATTACGCATACAGTACATACGTTGTTAGAATAATAGGTGCAGTAGATATATTATTCATATACAGGTTAAAGAACCCTTATGAAAGGCACTCTTATACCTGGCTTATAATTGTAATCTGATCTTTAATCTAGACCGGTGCTGATAATATATGATTTTCATTTTACCCAAAACCTCTTTAACAATTATTATACTTGTGTGTATATTTTGTTTCCCACCCCGCTGTCTGTCTCAATATTCCTTCATTACAACGTACAGAGACTAAAACACAAGTATTCTTCAGTCAGTAAACTCTATACACAATTGTTTCAAAATTTAGTTTTTTAGTCGCAAAACATCACCGGGATATTTGCTTTCATTCTCTGATGATCTTTCCTCTTTAACACATTACAATATTTTAAGAGAGCGTTGTTTATGTTTCTACTTGTGGTTCATCTTTAAATTTTATCTCTCTGTGATGACCAGCGTGTGGGCGTGGCAGCGGCAGTCCTGGCGGTGCTGATGGCCATCACCACCGGACACCAAGAAGGCGGACAAGAACTCCCTGTAGTGAGAAGGGATGTGGCTGATATACCTGACGGGGGTGGAGGAGTAACTGATGGAGGAGGAGGGGGATCTGGTGGTGGAGCAGGATCTGGTGGTGGTGGAGGATTTGGAGAAGGATTGGGTGGAGGAGAAGGATATGGAGGTGGTGGAGGATCTGGTGGAGGAGGATCTGGTGGTAGAGGAGGATACAGAGGTGGTGAAGGAACAACTGGAGACGGATCTGGTGGTGGAAAACCAGCACTGCCATACATCATTAAACCAGCTCTGCCAGATATTTCTCTACCCAGTATCCCAGAAATTACTGGTACACAGTCACCTCTAAGTGGAAGACCAGCACTGCCAGACATCAGTAAACCAGCACTGCCAGACATCATTAAACCAGCTCTGCCAGATATTTCTCTACCCAGTGTCCCAGAAATTACTGGTACACAGTCACCTCTAATTGGAAAACCAGCACTGCCATATATCATTAAACCAGCTCTGCCAGATATTTCTCTACCCAGTATCCCAGAAATTACTGGAACAAAGTTCCCTCTAATTGGAAGACCAGCACTGCCAGACATCATTAAACCAGCTCTGCCAGATATTTCTCTACCCAGTATCCCAGAAATTACTGGTACACAGTCACCTCTAATTGGAAGACCAGCACTGCCAGACATCATTAAACCAGCACTGCCAGATATTTCTCTACCCAGTATCCCAGAAATTACTGGTACACAGTTCCCTCTAATTGGAAGACCAGCACTGCCAGACATCATTAAACCAGCTCTGCCAGATATTTCTCTACCCAGTGTCCCAGAAATTACTGGTACACAGTCACCTCTAATTGGAAAACCAGCACTGCCATATATCATTAAACCAGCTCTGCCAGATATTTCTCTACCCAGTATCCCAGAAATTACTGGAACAAAGTTCCCTCTAATTGGAAGACCAGCACTGCCAGACATCATTAAACCAGCACTGCCAGATATTTCTCTACCCAGTGTCCCAGAAATTACTGGAACAAAGTTCCCTCTAATTGGAAGACCAGCACTGCCAGACATCATTAAACCAGCACTGCCAGATATTTCTCTACCCAGTATCCCACCTGTTGGTGGAGGAGGATCTGGTGGTGAAGGATCTGGTGGTGGAGGAGGATCTGATGGTGGAGGAGAATCTGATGGTGGAGGAGGATTTGGTGACGAAGGATCTGGTAATGGAGTAGGATTCGGAGAAGGATTTGGTGGTGGAGTAGGATCTGGTGGAGGAGGATCTGGTGGCGCAGTAGGATCTGGTGGTGGAGGAGGATCTGGTGGTGGAGGAGGATTTGGTGACGGAGGATCTGGTAATGGAGTAGGATTCGGAGAAGGATTTGGTGGTGGAGTAGGATCTGGTGGAGGAGGATCTGGTGGCGTAGTAGGCTCTGGTGGTGGAGGAGGATCTGGTGGTGGAGGAGGATTTGGTGACGGAGGATCTGTAATGGAGTAGGATTCGAGAAGGATTTGGTGGTGGAGTAGGATCTGTGGAGGAGGATCTGGTGGCGTAGTAGGATCTGGGCAGGTGGGAGGAGATCTGTGGTGGAGGAGGATCTGGTGGTGGGAGGAGGATCTGGTGGTGGAAGAGGACTCCAGGACGAAGGGTCTGGTAATGGAGTAGGATTCGGTGAAGGACTGTGGGTGGGAGGAGGATCTGGTGGTGGGAGGAGGATCTGGTGGTGGAGGAGCATCTGGTGGTGGAGGAGGATTTGGTGACGAAGGATCTGGGTAATGGAGTAGGATTCTGGAGAAGGATTTGCAGGAGGAGGATCTGGTGGCGTAGTAGCCTGGTGGTGGAGGAGCATCTGGTGGGTGGAGATCGTGGTGGTGCAGGATCTGGTACTGAGGAGGATCTGGTGGGTGGAGGAGGATTCGGAGAAGGATTTGGTAGGGAGCAGGATCTGGGTGGGAGGAGGACCTGGTGGCGCAGTAGGATCTGGTGGTGGAGGAGGATCTGTGGTGGAGGAGGATTTGGTGATGGAGGATCTGTAATGGAGTAGGATTCGGAGAAGGATTTGGGTGGAGGATCTGGTGGTGGAGGAGGATTCGGAGAAGGATTTGGTGGTGGAGTAGGATCTGGTGGAGGAGGATCTGGTGGCGCAGTAGGATCTGGTGGTGGAGGAGGATTCGGAGAAGGATTTGGTGGTGGAGTAGGATCTGGTGGTGAAGGATCTGGTGGTGGAGGAGGATCTGGTAGTGGAGGGGAATCTGGTGGTGGTGGAGGATCTGGTGGTGAAGGATCTGGTGGTGAAGGAGGAGGAAACGGAAAAGAAATAACAGGAACAGAATTCCCACTAATTGGAAAACCAGCACTGACAGACATTTCTGAACCAGCACTGCAGGACATTTCTAAACCAACACTGCAAGACATTATTAAACCGGCACTGCCAGTCATTTCTAAACCAACACTGCAAGACATTATTACACCCCCACTGCCAGACATTTCTAAACCAACACTGCAAGACATTATTAAACCGGCACTGCCAGACATTTCTGAACCAGCACTGACAGACATTTCTAAACCAACACTGCAAGACATTATTAAACCGGCACTGCCAGACATTTCTGAACCAGCACTGCCAGATATCACTAAACCAGCACTGACAGACATTTCTAAACCTGAACTGACAAACATATCTGAACCAGCACTGCCAGACATATCTGAACCAGCACTGACAGACATTTCTGAACCAGCACTGCCAGACATTTCTGAACCAGCACTACCAGACATTTCTAAACCTGAGCTGCCAGTCATTTCTAAACCAACATTGCAAGACATTATTAAACCGGCACTGCCAGACATTTCTGAACCAGCACTGACAGACATATCTGAACCAGCACTGCCAGACATTTCTGAACCAGCACTGCCAGACATTTCTAAACCTGAACTGCCAGTCATTTCTAAACCAGCACTGCCAGATATTTCTCTACCCAGTAACCCAGAAATTACTGGTACACAGTTACCCGTAATTGGAAAACCAGTAATGCCAGACGTCACTAAACCAGCACTGCCAGACATTTCTAAACCAGCACTGCCAGATATTTATCTACCCAGTATCCCAGAAATTACTGGTACACAGTTACCCATAATTGGAAAACCAGTACTGCCAGAAATCATTAAACCAGCACTGCCAGACATTTCTGAACCGGTACTGTCAGACATTTCTAAACCTGAACTGCCAGTCATTTCTAAACCAGCACTGCCAGATATTTCTCTACCCAGTATCCCAGAAATTACTGGTACACAGTTACCCATAGTTGGAAAACCAGTACTGCCAGACATTTCTGAACCAGCACTGCCAGACATTTCTGAACCGGTACTGTCAGACATTTCTAAACCTGAACTGCCAGTCATTTCTAAACCAGCACCAGATATTTCATCTAGTATCCCAGAAATTACTGGTACAATAGAAGTTACCCATAGTTGGAAAACCAGTACTGCCAGAAATCATTAAACCAAAGTACTGCCAGACATTTCTGAACCAGCACTGCCAGACATTTCTGAACCAGTACTGTCAGACATTTCTAAACCTGAACTGCCAGTCATTTCTAAACCAGCACTACCAGATATTTCTCTACCCAATACCCCAGAAATTACTGGGACACAGTTACCCATAATTGGAAAACCAGTACTGCCAGAAATCATTAAACCAGCACTGCCAGACATTTCTGAACCAGCACTGCCAGACATTTCTGAACCGGTACTGTCAGACATTTCTAAACCTGAACTGCCAGTCATTTCTAAACCAGCACTACCAGATATTTCTCTACCCAATATCCCAGAAATTACTGGGACACAGTTACCCATAATTGGAAAACCAGTACTGCCAGACATCATTAAACCAGCACTGCCAGACATTTCTGAACCAGCACTGCCAGACATTTCTGAACCAGTACTGTCAGACATTTCTGAACCAGCACTGCCAGACATTTCTGAACCAGTACTGTCAGACATTTCTAAACCTGAACTGCCAGTCATTTCTAAACCAGCACTACCAGATATTTCTCTACCCAGTATCCCAGAAATTTCTGGTACACAGTTACCTATAATTGGAAAACCAACATCGCAAGACATTATTAAACCGGCACTGCCAGACATATCTATACCCAGGATCCCGCCTGGTGGTGGAGGAGGATCTGGTGGTGGAGGTGGATATGGAGCGGGAGTTGGAGGTGAAGGAAGTGGAGGAGGAGGTGGATATGGAGGTGGGTCTGGTGGTGGAAGATCAGGAGAAGGAGGTGGATATGGAGGTGGATTTGGAGGTGGATACGGAGGAGGATCTGGAGGAAAAGGAAGTGGAGGAGGAGGAGGATCAGGAGGAGGAGGAGGATCAGGAGGAAACGGAAGAGTCGTAATGCCAGGTAAACCAATCTGGAAAAAAATATTCCCGGGATTTGGTCATGCAGGAGGAACGGGATTCAGTAAAGGAGGTGGAATTGGTAAAATACCAGGATTAGGTCTTGGAAAAGGATCAGCATTCGGTAGTGGAGGAGGATCTGGTGGTGGAGGAGGATCTGGTGGTGGTGGAGGATCTGATGGCGAAGGATCTGGTAGTGGAGGAGGATTCGGAGAAGGATCTGGTGGTGGAATTGGACCCGGTGGAGGAGGATTTGGTGGTGGAGGAGGATCTGGTGGTGGAGGAGGATCTGGTGGCGAAGGGTCTGGTAGTGGAGGAGGATTCGGAGAAGGATCTGGTGGTGGAATGGGACCCGGTGGAGGAGGATTTGGGGGTGGAGGAGGATCTGGTGGTGGTGGAGGATCAAGCAAAGGAGGTGGATTTGGAGGTGGATTTGGAGGTGGATACGGAGGAGGATCTGGAGGAAAAGGAAGTGGAGGAGGAGGAGGATCAGGAGGTGGAGGAGGATCAGGAGGAAACGGAAGAGTCGTAATGCCAGGTAAACCAATCTGGAAAAAATTCTTCCCGGGATTTGGTCTTGGAAAAGGATCAGCATTCGGTAGTGGAGGAGGATCTGGTAATGGTAGTGGTCAAGGATCAGCATTAACAGATGGAGATAAGGAACCTATGCCAGAAACAGGTGGGGCAGGTGAGGTGCAGCCGGGTAAAGTCTTTATTGAAACTCAAGCTGATGCTAGTTCTAGTGCATCGGTATCGAATGCTGAAGCAGAGCCTGTAGAGGAAATGTGAACCAGTCTACAGATAACTTAATGTACTCTGTGGTGGTCCTGACACTATTATGGTTGAGAGGTAAAGCTTCTGTTTCTTGTTGATTTAAGTTTCTGTCACTTGTAGATTTCTTAAGGTGTCTTTTTACCTTAATGGTAGAGTTATTATAGTATGATTTTCTGTAGTTATCCTCCATCACCTACGACAACATTGGAAACATTAACGTCTTTAGTAAAACTTGAAATATATTTGATCCTGAATTTATACATTTAGCTATTTTACTCTGTCATTATTTTCAACCAATTTATTAGAGAATCTTACGAACTGACGTTGTTTAATCTTTCCCCAGGTGTATGTCAATTAATACCTGCAACGACGCTACACTTCACAACACACCCTCAGCTGACCACGGCCAACGGTCACCTCAACTCTCCTTCATCACAAAAAGATTATATATTTCATCAATTATTTAATTGCTATCGTCTTATTTCTGTTGTTACTTAAAATGTAAGAAAATATGTTTTTTAAATATTTCTTTGTAAATTATTCTACAATTCAATAAATTTTATTCTTCATTTACAAATTTTGCTCGTACCTTTTAAATTCATTTATGTATGTATGTATGTATATATGTATGTATGTATGTATGTATGTATGTATGTATGTATGTATGTATGTATGTATGTATGTATGCATATACGTATGTATGTAAAGTCTATACACATTTGCTTCAAAATTTAGTTTTTTAGTCGCAAAACATCACCGGGATATTTGCATTCATTCTCTGATGATCTTTCCTCTTTAACACATTACAATATTTTAAGAGAGCGTTGTTTATGTTTCTACTTGTGGTTCATCTTTAAATTATCTCTCTGTGATGACCAGCGTGTGGGCGTGGCAGCGGCAGTCCTGACGGTGCTGATGGCCATCACCACCGGACACCAAGAAGGCGGACAAGAACTCCCTGTAGTGAGAAGGGATGTGGCTGATATACCTGACGGGGGTGGAGGAGTAACCGATGGAGGAGGAGGGGGATCTGGTGGTGGAGCAGGATCTGGTGGTGGTGGAAGATCTGGTGGCGAAGGATCTGGTATTGGAGGAGGATTTGAAGGAGATGGATACAGAGAAGGATCACATGAAGGAGGAGGATATGGAGGAGGATCTGGTGATGGAGGAGGAGGATTTGGAAGAGGAATTGGATATGAAAGAGGATTTAGTGGTGGAGAAGAAGTATCTGGTGGAGGAGGAGGAGAATTGGGTACCTCACCAATACTTACAGCCGTCCACAAGCCAACGTTTTCTGGTTCAGGGAAAAGACATAAACAGATAGTTGTGATATCAACACAATTTCCTCTAATTGGAAAACCTGCACCGCCAGACATTTCTGTCCCCTGTATCCCAGAAATAACTGGAACACAGTTGCCTCAAATACAAAAAATCGTACTGCCTGGCTATCCTAAGGCCAGTTAAGAGTTGAATATTTTTTTTTTTTCATTTATTGGGCACTCCCCTACATCCTTGTGTAAGGTGAAGCGCAGAAGCGTGTACAGCGCCCAACAGGGAAGCATGCTAAGTTCATGCTTGCCTTATGTCTCATGAGTTAAGGGCATAGAAGCCTGAAGAGTCAATGGTTTATGTTTAAGCAAGTTATTGGAAGCTCCAACAACTTGTCCCTGAATACGAATTTGCAACTTTCGATTTACAGCAGGTACCTACTTTGCTGCTTGGTGAACAGGGACCAAGGGGACTAGGAAGAGTGCCCAAACAACTTCCGCCGGCCCGGGAATCGAACCCGTGACATCTTGCTTGAGAGGCAAGAACGGTACCGCTCTACCACCAGCGCCCCCGTTAAGAGTTGATGAAAAAAGATTATCACTAGATTTTGGATTGAGATCGCCAGTTGCTGTTGATGGAGGATTATGATTCGGCGATGGAGGAGGAGTCGGTAGTTGGGGAGTAACAGGAGGTACTGGTGGAGCAGAGATGAGGGAGATTATATAGATCGAGTGAACGCGAGGGAGATATCGTCGTTCTTGATTTAGGATCTCAAGCTAGTTCTATTGGATCAAAATTCCATGCAAGTGCAAAAGGTGATGTGGAGAGACCAGTGAGTGTACCAGACTACCTCACTGATACCGAAGACGACACTTATCAAAAAGGTGATCCCATATACAGATAACTACTGCATTATGTGGCGGTCCTGACACTCTTATGTTCGAGGGGCAGGTTTCTCTCACTTGTAGATTTGTCAGTGTTTTTTTTTTGTGCGTTAATGGTTTGACTTCCTGTAATTAACCTTTATTACCTACGATTGCACTGAGAAGTCTAACATCTTCGGTAAAATTGAGTAAATAAATAATCCTGAGTTATGTGATTATTTAACTATTTTGTTTTGTCATTATTTTCAAGCAGTTATGAGAGCATCTTGTGAACTGACCAATTATTTAATCTCTCCCCAGGTGTACATCAATTAACCTCAGCAACGACGCTTCATCTCTCACTACCTGTGCTGACCCTGGCTAATCATTATCTCGACCCTCCTCCATATTTTTCCACCCCAACTTAATTACAGTCTCTTTCTTGTCACTAATGTTCATGTTCTGTGTGTAAACGGTTCGTCGAATCTTCATTTGTTTATTTCCATTTATTAAAGTTTATACTTGATGTAATGTATTTTTGTACCTCGTTAATTAGCGTGTCAATGTATGTAATAATTCCAGGCGTTTAAACATTTCACCACACTATCTGAAAAAACGTAAACATTTATCCCAAATAATGTATACAGTATCCAAAGGGAGCAGTGTTTGTGTGTATCAACAGCGGTAGTTGAAGAAATTTTACAACATCTGGCCTTCACACCCTCCTCAGTGTTGCTAACGTTGGCAGGTGATTGAGTCATTGTTTACTAAATGTATATAATCATCCGCCGTGACCTTGGTACTTCTGACACAACTCACCGGCAAAGTTACAACACAACGTCCAGGGAGGAATTCTCAGAGTTTACGTTGAATTTTCTCTTTCACTGTTGTGGTGAGAATGTGGGTAATTATTTCCTTAACTACGACACGAAGATGATATCCATAATTGCATGAAAATTGCACTAAGAATCTGTTATAACTAAAAGCTATTTCTGGTTCTCAGGGGCGGGGAAGGTTTATAAGTACACAGTAGGCAAACAACTTACACGATGACTGATTCTGTTGCATTCTGAAGAAGGAAAAATTCTCCTGTCATCATACTTTCCTTCATAATGAAGTTGCATTAGAAATTCACAATAACAGAATTATCCCCAAGCAATATCTGGCATCCTCGGCACAGTGATCACCCTCAGACAGACGGCATCAAACTCACCACAGCGAGTAATGTAACTGGCCGTCATGATGGACTGCACATACCCCGACGTCTTCCCCTCACCTCATCCGTAAGGCTGTGAATATGACTCCACGTACACATACCTACTGTAAGTGTATGAGCTCCATATTACCATACACGTCATATGCCATTTATTTATGCCTACATACATACACACACCCCTGAGTGTGTCAGCCAAGGGACTTAGCACCAGCGTTAACGAGGCTAATGTTTACTGATATCAGCTGAGACCTTGTGAAGAAGACACGCCAGAACGTGACGGTGACCCGAACCTCTCCACCACCAGGCCCTGACCCTCGCTCATCACCAGGCCCTGACCCTCTCCACCACCAGGCCCTGACCCTCGCTCATCACCAGGTAACAACTTCTCATTAAATCTAGAAGAGATTTGTCAACAATGTCATCACCACTTTAGGTTACCTGAGTGTGCAACAAATTTTAGGGAAAGTTGTGTTTATCTGAATTTTTAGCTGTTTATATGATTTCGAGTACGATGATTCCAAAAATGACCAGTTTTTTTACAGCATCAATAGTTTTATCAGAAATTAGCAATTCATTTTTTATCATCTCTGAAATT